ATTTTCATAGATATTGTAACAAAGAAGGAGTTGTCCAACTCTTATGTGCATTCTCAGAAATATGTGCATTCCCAGCTGTCACTGGGGCAGTACCTTTTCAAAAGATACATATTAGTACCCAAATGTACCTAAAAAGTACCTCTGAAGTACCATTACGGACCCTTCAGGTACAAATATGTACCGTTTGAAAAGGTACCGCCCCAGTGACAGCTCCTGTACCTTTATTTCTGAGAGTGTACCTTCTTATGAGAACAATTATGTACCTTCACTTGAATTGTACCATAAAAGGTATAGAACAGTATCATAAGAGGTCTTTTCTGTACCATATAAGGTACAACTTTTACAAAGGTACAAAACTGGCCCTCAAGGAACATTATTTGTACCACTGTGTACCTTTTTTTCTGAGAGTGTAAAGAGTTTTAAAATCAGTTAAATCACTTTATAAACAGACACTTAAAGTATTTGATCAGAAAGCTATGAGGTATCATCATTGTAATGTAATACAAAAACATTATTTATTGAGCTTTGATAATATGAATATTTGGCTGATGCTTGTATGATTTTTAAAAGGCAAGGCAAGTTTATTTATATAGCACATTTCATACACAGTGGCAATTCAAAGTGCTTTACATAAACAGGAATAAAAAAAGACAAGTTTAGGAACATAAAATGCAGATAATAAAAATTATTAAAAACAGATAAAAACAAATTAAAATGAGTTAAAATAGGCTATAAAAGAATGAAAAAGAAAATGAAAAACATAATAGTGCGATCTGTCGGACGTAGCACAGTGCTCATTCAGTAAAGGCACAGCTAAACAGATGTGTTTTCAGTCTTGATTTGAATGTGCCTAATGTTGGAGCACATCTGATCATTTCTGGAAGCTGATTCCAGCAGCGAGGGGCATAGTGGATAAAAGCCGATTCACCCTGCTTTGACTGAACTCTTGGAACTTCTAGTTTATATGATCCTAAAGATCTGAGTGATCTGTTAGGTTTGTATTCAGTGAACATGTCTGTAATGTATTGAGGTCCTAGGCCATTTAGTGATTTATAGACCAGTAATAATACTTTAAAATCTATTCTGAATGTAACTGGCAGCCAGTGTAGAGACCTGAGGACCGGTGTGATGTGCTCTGATTTCCTGCTTCTGGTCAGAATTCTGGCTGCAGCGTTCTGGATGAGCTGTAACTGTCTGACTGTCTTTTTGGGAAGGCCAGTGATGAGACCATTACAGTAATCCACCCTGCTGCTGATAAAAGCATGAACAAGTTTTTCTAAGTCTTCACTGGAAACAAAGCATCTGATTCTTGATATATTTTTGAGATGATAGTATGCTGATTTACTGACTGCTTTGACATGACTGTTGAAACTCAGATCTGACTCCAGAGTCACACCAAGATTCTTGACCTTATTTTTTTGTCGTTTGACCTTTAGAGCCAAGGTATGCATTCACCTTGAGAACCTCGTCTCTGTTCCCAAACACAATGGCTTCAGTTTTCTCTTTGAAATATTAAATGGATGTGCTTCACCTCCATTATGTGAGTTTGTGACAAGAATAATATTGGTCAAGCAACACGATCTGTTACCAGGGGAGACTGTGCTGTGTTGTTTACACGTACAACTTTTGCATGGTCAGTCTTCTCAGTTAGAGCCAGTCTTTTCTGGAACACACTTCCTATTGATTTAAGGGGTCTTACAAATTATTATTATTTAGGTTGCCTTTTAAAATCTGGCAGGGGGCAACAGATGAAAATTAGCCCTTGTGGCTAACTCTGGCTTACTTACAGTTTTACTGTTGATAAATGAGCATTGTCCATATTAAATGAAATACATTTCAAAATTTCCAAATACCCCAAAGCTGGTACAGTGGAACAAAATTATGAATGAATATCTTGGACCTCCAACAATAGTTATTGATAGATAGACCAGATAGACAGGAAATAGTGTTCACCTGATCGAGGTGCATGTGATAAAAGTGAAGGAGATAAACAATAGTGAACATTTGAAGTAGATCAAAACCTGCTATAAAGTTGTCCTAAAACGATTGTACACACACATTTAGGCTACTATATTGATTAACAGAACATTTAAATAGTCATTAAACTTGTTATTTGTGACTGGTGGTCTGGCACAAAACTTGCTCAGGTTCAAGTCATAAAATCTGTCACTAAATATAATAAAACACAACACACTGAAGTAAACAAAAATGGGTTTTACCTGCGTTTTACCAGTTTCAGTGCGTCAAACTATTCGGTGATGGATTATGAGATGTCTAACTTTGAGCAGGATGTTTTTCTGCAGTTTGTAGAATTCCGAGCAAGCTTACTTTATTGTTTACCTCGTTATTCAAGAGCAAAATCTCCAGTACGTCATCGTGCATTGGCCTCGCTTGAGCTCAGCGTCTGTTAATAAACCCCGCCCCCTTGATCTGATTAGCTGTCACAAACATCCTTGCGGTGTCACCAATATTCTGGACCGACGGTATATATCCGCTGAAACTAATTTGATTCAGAGAGGTTTATAGCGAGGTGGGTGTCTGTTGTTAAAGAGAGTAATCTCTTCTAGTATCAGCAACAATATCAGTAGAAACACCTCATACTGTGAATAGCATTTGTATCCTAGTATGACATTAATATAAAAAATGTACAGTAGGCTACTTTAAAATAAATAGTGGCACTTATTTTCTTCTTTAGGCCAATGAAAACTCGGGTTTTTTACATAAAAGAATTACAAAAAATAATAAAATGATATATATATATATATATATATATATATATATATATATATATATATATATATATATATATATATATATATATGAAAACAAGACAACAAATAAGCATAATTAAAGTTTATATCAAAACCCTGAGAGGAGAATCAGCTTATTTAGCACCGAGCACTCTTCAGTCTCTCTTTCTAAAGTGATGTTATTGTTTTATTGGCAGTCTAAGATTAGTGAAGCTCTCATGTCCCTCAAATAAATATTATTAGGATTATCAGCATCTTTTTTTGTGTGTTGGAAAATTCATAAGATGTAAAACAACAAACATGAGGACTGATAAACAAAACGTTTAATCATGTGTTCTCATTTGTAGTTTGTCAAACATATGCATTTATTTTGGTCCCTGTACTAAACCTGATTTCATTTTAAATAATATTCGTAGTAAAACCATAAATGTACAAATCAGAAGCTTTAAATTAACTTTAGAGTAATAGATTTTTTTATAGCTAATTCAAATGTTTTAGTCTTATTTTTAATCTTTTTAGCCAAAATAGTAATAATATTATTTTTTAATAATAATAATAATAATAATAAATACCAACTGTTGCAGTGTACTACAGTTAACAACATGAAAATATCAAAATTTACACGTTTAATGATTATAAAGTAAAACAATTAATAATAATAATAATAATAATAACGAGGATAATTTTTGTTTTCCAGAATATTATTACTTTATGCTTGGTTAGCCAGGAAAGTATTTTTATAACGTTATACTACTTTTATCGTAACAAAAAACTAATGTGAAGATAATGAAAGTGAAACCACCAGTGCATATAATGGTTTGACCTGCTATTCACAGTTATGACCAGTAGATGTCGCCACAGTTCAATAATAGTAAAATCTCAAAGTAGTGATCCGTTTTGCTATTGTGCGATTGTGACAGTTCATAAATAGTTGCAAAATTCAATACACGTTGAATACATTAACACGAATGTTGCATTTCACACAACAAATATCTTCTTTCGCACCAACTTTAGTATGAATTGCATGGATCTTGATGGTAAATCATTTAAAAAGTTCACCACATTTCCTTAAATGACATGTGACATATTACAGACAATCATGTAAATCAGAAATGCTGCAAATGCTTGTATATAAAGGTTGTTGACTACATTTAATTAAACAGAGTAAATGAATATCTAAGAGTTGCGTTTCCAAATGAACAGTAAAATGATAATGGAGTAGAATTGATGGCTTTTTCATGTGTTTATGACATACTATTTCTGCACTCAAACTGAGCCGTTATCTAAAAGATTCCCCTGGATATAGATAAAGGTGACCAGAGGTAACCAGACCATGCAAACTGAAAATAATGTTATTTAGAGAGTAATATAAAACCTTGTCATACCCAGATTTGTTTTTCACATCACTTGTGTTTTAAAGATAGATGGAGATTTCAGGGGTTTGAAACAACATAAGGGTGAGTAATTAATAACTGAAGTTTCATTTTTGGGTGATCTAACATTTACATTTTAGCAGATGCTTTTGTGTGAAGTGACTTACAATTAAAGATTGAGCCTTCAGCAAGAAGAGGCAATACACACAAGAAGAGCTGATTATACAAAATAACAGTTTGTGCTGAGAGAATTAAGGGCTAGAGTAAGGAGGAGGGAGTGGTTTTTTTTTTTGAGAGACAGAGAGTTCGTCAAGCCCACTTACCATGGACCGTGGAGGTGGGATGTATCTAACACATTGTATTGTGAGGTAGCAGCAACTTTTGAAGATATTCAGATACACCGGGCTTATAATTCACATTAATGTATTCTGCAAGGTAACCTTCTGCATTAGTAACCAATTTGGTGCAGGCACCCGATAGTATCTGGATGCTGCCTTTATGATGTAAGCTGAGATTAACACTTAACACTTAATGGAGTGAGTGACATCCCTGTGATGGGTAGGGTTAGGGGTGGGGTTAGGTGAGCGCATTAAAAAGCATTGGATGCAGCTCAGATTGCACTGCACCAGGTCTGCATCCAAACCCCTCTCCAGGCACCAAGCATCCTGTACGGAGTGTATTAAAGCTGCCCATAGGGCTTCGGGTTGAGTAATTGTCCCACTAACAATATGTTAAGCACAGAGAGCTGAAGCTCTGTTTGTTCACCTTCCCACTGCAGCAGTGAAAGTTGATCCAACTGATCCAAATCTCCTTCCACTCAGTATCAGCTCATTTATCACTGAGTTTCTTCATGATCTTATTCTCTTAAGTCTTTATTTCAGTGTTGAAGTGATGGTTCATTATTTAGTTGGCAGACTGAGTCTGATTTAAGAACCTCTAGAGATCCTCTGAGCGATATCATCTGTTCCCTGTAATAAAAATTCACAAAAGGTAAAACAAAAAATTAAATTGTAAAGCTTCAAAAAATCTTGAAATTGTGTTTCTGTACTAAAGCTGCTTAATCTAAAACTTATTAACATCTTACATTTTAAGTGAAGATAAAAAGAGCACTTCCTACAAATGTATTTCCTGACTTTGTGTTGTACTTCACATTTTCAGTGTATGGACTGAGGCAATGTTCATTTTTGTTTTAAATTACAAAATAAAAAAATAAAAAAAATAAAGGAGTATCGCCTGCAGAAGCAAAAGTGAAACCAGCTGGTCAAGGTAAACAGATCAGTTTGGTACATGAAATATAAGCTTATGACCACAGGATGTCACATTGCATTGAAAAGCTTTGATTAATGAACCTGATTGCAATGCAGCTGAGACGAAAGCCTTGATGCTTCAGTTTTGTAAAGCCATCACTATATTAAGGTAACTTCCTACATAAATGTATTGTCACCTTGGAATTATAAGGTTCTCTCTGCGTTCTGAATGGTTTCGAGATAATGATGGTGGTGGTGGTGGTGGTGCTGGTCTGAGTAGGCGACGCCTGTAAATCACAGCAGCAACAACCAAAGCAACAACCAGCAGAACAGAAACAACTATTCCTGCTACAGCACCTCCAGTCAGATGTGAACGTCGAAGAGCTGAAGAGAAACCATCATTATTATCAGACAGTGAGGGATCTTCCATTTAGCGTTTAACATTAGCTTTGACTCACATTCACACTTTTCTGCTTTGATGTACGATATTAATTTTACCTTATTACATTTGTCATTAAGTTTTTGTAAGTTAGATGGTTGGGTCAAAGCTAATACTCTACAACCTAACTATTTTGGGGTTAAACTTAAAACACAGTGAACATTTTTTTATTTCACAGGTAGATTTAAGGAAAAGAATAAAATACTCACAAATGACAGTAAGAGTGAATCTCTTCTCTCTGGTGATGCTGAAGTGTTTGTTGCTGCTGGTGAAAATCACTAGTGTATATTCTCCAGAGTCTGTGATTCTGATGTTCATGATGGTTAGAGATCCGGATTCACTCTGGAGTTTCAGTCGGTCTGTGAATCTCTCTTTACACTGAACATCTCTGCAGATCTGACTCTGATTTACAGTGATCTCAGCAATGAGAATGTTAAGGAAATACCATGTCAGCACATCATTTAGTTTTCTTATTACAGCAGGACGAAAAGTAACAGACTGTCCTTCATTTTCCTTGACATCATCTTGATGACCAGCAGGATCATCTAAAACACAAAGCAATATTCTATTGGTTATTTTGAAATGCAAAGACTGATATATTTAAGTTTCAATAGGTTTTGTAGAACAGAAATAGAGATAGATGATGTAGTCCTGATTGGGTTAAAAGGTTAGTTAACCCAAAAATAAAAACTATGTTTTTTAATTACTCACCCTTCTGTCGCTTCAAACCCCTGAGTCATTCATTCATCTTCAGAACACAGATTAAGATATTTTTGGTGAAATCTGAGAGCTCCCTCATCCTCCATAAGCAGCAAAGCTTTGAAGGCCAGACGAGAATGAGACGAGAACCTTAGAGCTCTAAGATTCCACCAAAATGCAATCAACAGATTTTTGGTTGATCTGAAAAACTGTGAAGGGATAATTTTGCACACTCACGCAATAGACACATTACTCATTAATAAATAAAATACAGTCGAAATCATTTTTTTTATCATAAATCTAATTTAGCCATCTTTAGAACATCGCTTGAACATTGGGACATAGTGGTTAAACATTCATAGTAAGTGAGCTTAAGTCTGGATTTGCATTAGACAGGTCTGCAGCATTTACGGCTAAAAAGCTAATATCTGATTTCTTTTAAAGTTTAACTTTTAAAGTCGTAAAATCATATGTCTGAAATTCTATTACTAGTAAGAAGCGTTGGAATGTTACACCTAGTAAATTATTACAGCTCAGATCAATGTTTGTAACATTCATTCATTCATTTTCTTTTCAGCTTAGTCCCTTTATTAATCAGAAGTTGCCACAGCGGAATGAACCGCCAACTTATCCAGTGTATGTATTCACACACATACACTACGGACAATTTAGCTTGTTCAATTCACCTATAGCACGTCTTTGGACTGTGGAGGAAATTGGAGCACTCAGAGGAGAGAAACCACATAGGGAGAACATGCAAACTCCACACAGAAATGCCAATTGACCCAGCTGATTGTTTTTTGCACAATAAAGACTTTCAGTCTTATACAACAGCTGCTCATAAATCAGGCTTTACTCTGTGATAACTGGCTTAAATAAATATTCATGAATAACTCACCATGGACAGTCACATTAAAGATCTTTTCCCCGTTGCTGTTGACCAGATGATATTTTCCAGAGTGTGTTGTGTTGATGTTCATGATGGTCAGAGATCCAGTCTGAACGTCCAGCTTCAGTCTGTCTCTGAATTTCTCAGTGCCTTCATTACACTGAACATCAGTACAGCTAAAACTGACATCCCCATTGATCTGTGCAATGTGAATACCATTAAAATACCATGTAACGTCTTCTTGCTGGTTTGTTTGAACACCAGTGCATAGATTGACTGAATCTCCTTTCATTACTGACAACGACACAATATCTGTAAAAGTCAAACCTAAAAAAAGATACAGTCAACATAAGCCAAAGAAAAATATACAATAGTGCATCACAATATCAACAAGACTGTAAGTATATAATGACTAGTTTCATAATGTAATACGCCAACAAACAGCAGGAGAACATCACTGATTTATACATTTATTTTTAAGACAAAGATTCAGGAGTCTCAAAGATGATCTTATACATGTCATATCAAGCTATTTTCTTTCCAATTGAGTCATAATTTGGCAATCACTTGTAACCTTCTGCTACAGCTAAAATATTAAAAGCAGCATATTTCGCTGCACTAAAATGCACATTGAAATAATTAATTGTGAGGATATGTAGCAAAACATATTTGCAATGAGGGTCCAGCTTGTGCTATAATGGGTTTCTATTGTAATTTTATTTATTTGCTGATTCGTTCATTTACTAGGTATCTTTTATTCTTTTATTAGTGGCATGTTAAAAACCATAAATCCGAACATGTCTCAAAACAGGTATGGTTTTATGGTGTGATGTAAATAATGATGTGGTGTTCAAGTAAATTCTTAAAGTTTATTTAAAGAGATTAAATGAATGAAATGACGTAAATCCATTATTGTTTCCACAACTTCAGCACTTAGTTTCCTTTCTCTGACATTTTGCTATACTGCATCTGCTACCTGTATCTTAGTAATACGGCCATCTAGTGGTCACTAACATCAACTAATCACTACAAATGATATCAAACAAGTTTAAGACTTACCGTGAACGAGTAAAATCAAGGTCCCTACGAGCAAATTAAAGACATGTATCATTTTAACGACTCCTCCCCACAGGAAGCATATTCCAAATTATAAAAGAGATTCACTTAGTTAAGGCTACGAAGCAGTTTTGTCAATATAAGGGGAACATTAACCAGTAGTCTCGCGTAGCCATTTCAGACTAAAGGTCTTTGAGAACTTAGTTTGACCAGTGGACAGATAAGGACCGCCCATCAGATGACTGTAAAGCAATTACTTTCCGTTCATTGATATATACACTAGATATCGCATAGGGACCCTGAGCATGCGTCAATAGCGCCGCCACATTGGTACAGTGCTCCCAGGACAAATGTCAACCGCTCTAGTCAAGACAGTGTTACTACGTGAAGATGTTGAACTTTAGCGCTGTCTACGGGTGTAGTAATGAGCAAACAAAGAAAACAAAGTACAAAGGCAGAACATTTCATAGGTAATAGGTTTTTTACATTTTTGTATGCTAACAACTTTTGTGCTAAACACGTTATTGACTGAAGTGCAACACATCACTTATTTTTGTTTTATAAGCAAGTAGTTTCTCACTGTTATCTTTATAACAAAAACAACAGAATATTTGAATGTTTTTTTTTTCACTGGTACTGGGGCAAAACTGAACACGAGTCTAAATGTTTAACAACTGTTACCTCTGCAGGTAATTATTAGAGGCAAGCACCCAGAATTTGGTTTTCAGGGAAACCTTAAAATGAATACAGGGCAGTATCCAGTCGGTGTAGGCTACTAGTTAAAATATCACTTTTAAATTCCATTTAAGTGTCTCAAGCAAAACTTTTGGATGTTTGAGACAATGATTGCACAACCTTTAAAGAACATCATCAATCAAACGGGCAGGAGTGGGCTAAGCCCACCCAAACAAAAGTAGGTAAAGACCACATTTATTTTATTTTAATTAATAGTCATGCTTGACAAACACACATTAACTAAAGGGCTGTATTTCCCCAAACCAATCACATGTGTTACTCTATTTGTTTAACAGGTTAGATAAACTATTAAAAACAAGCATGCAAACTTGCTCAGACTGAATCCTTTCCCAAAAATCCACCTGGCTCTATTCCACTGCAATCAGACACACAGATAAAGTGACCAAAGGTAAGCAGGGCATACAGACTGAAACACATGTGATTTAGATATGCATGTTATTTTGAAATGCATATGGGAAGTGTTTATCATATCTAGATATTTAGTTTCAATTTCACATACACTGAAAACAATGACTCAAATGGGGTTCCTTGGATAATTTTTTTTTTGTTTGTTTAAATATTTCTAAAGTCTTTTTGGAAGACATTCACTTGGAAATAAATATAAAAAAATAATATATATATATATATATATATATATATATATATATATATATATATATATATATATATATATATATATATTCATAAAACTTAGATTTCATGAATTAGATAAATAAAAGAATACAAATAAACAAAATAAAGCAACAACCAACGGTCATTAAAATAATAATTTAACAAAAAATAAAAATAAATAAAAAAAAAACAAGCAATCCCCCAACCGTCCACCCACCAGTGCTTTCCAATAGTAAAAGTAGGTACTAAAGGCATAGTAAGCATAGTAATCACAAGTTTGTAGAAAGGAAATAAAAGGAGACCAATTGTTTCAAATAACAAAGGGTATACCTGTTTTTTTCTAGATGTAATGTACCTGTTAACTCTGTCAGCCATAATTTAAGAGTTGTAACTTTTTTTGTCTTAGAAAACAAAACGATACGTTTTTTTTTTTAAATTTGAGATCAACCCATATGAAACAAACTGTTGTCGTACCCATGTAAGTCTCAAAAATTCTTTGGAAACAAATATAATTATTATAGGACTTGGTTCAATCGTCTAAATATAATTAATATAGGACCTGGTTCAATTGTCCAAATATAAATAATATAGGATCTGGTTCAATCGTCCAAATATAATTATTACTGGATCTGGGTCAATCGTCCAAATATAATTAGCCATATCACCCAGCAGCCCAAGACCGGTTACTCACTGAAGCTAAGCAGGGCTGAGCCTGGTCAGTACCTGCATGATAGACCACTTGGGAACACTAGGTTGCTGTTGAAAGTGGTGTTAGTGAGGCCAGCAGGGGGCGCTCAACCTGTGGTCTGTTTGAGTCCTAATGCCCCAGTAAAAGTGAAGGGGACACTATACTGTTAGTGAGCGCCGTCTTTCGGATGAGATGTTAAACCGAGGTCTTGAATCTCTGTGGTCATTAAAAATCCCATGGCACTTATCGTAAAAGAGTAGAGGTGGAACCCCGTTGTCCTAGCCCGGTGTCCTAGCGGTGCCCAGTGTCCCTCTATCGACCCTTACGATCATGGCCTCCCAATCATCCCCATCCACCGAATTGGCTGTATCACTGTCTCTCCACTCCACCAATAGCTGGTGTGTAGTGAGCGCACTGGCGCCGTTGTCCTGTGGCAGCCGTCGCATCATCCAAGTGGATGCTGCACACTGGTGGTGGTGTGGAGAGACCCCCCTCTCATGATTGTGAAGTGCTTTGGGTGTATGGCCATACACAATAAATGTGCTATATAAATACACATTACATTACATTACAATATAGGATCTGGTTTAATCGTCCAAATATAATTAATATTGGATCTGGTTCAGTTGTCCAAATATAATTATATAGCATCTGGTTTAGTCGTCCAAATATAATTATTATTGGATCTGGTTCAATCGTCCAAATATAATAATATAGGATCCGGTTTAGTCGTTTAAATATAAAAAATAGGCCTATAGATAGGATCTAGGTCAGTGGTTCTCAAACTGTGGTACGTGTACCACTAGTGGTACGCAAGCTTCTTTCTAGTGGTACGCGGAGGAATGAAATATGTCATGTACATGCTACATATATTTCAAAAATTATCAAAAATGATGTATATAATATGCCATATATGACATATAGCCTATATTTCTGAGGTAATCCGTCACGTTTTTTTAACTGTGCAGAGTTGTAGCTGCTTTACTGGGCCTACTATACGCTACTGTACTTCAATACTGCTCATTTTGGTGGTACTTGGAGAGACAATTTTTTTCTAAAGTGGTACTTGATGAAAAAAGTTTGAGAACCACTGATCTAGGTCAATTGTCCAAATACAATTAATAATGGATCTGGTTCAGTCGTCCAAATATAAATAATATAGGATCTGAGTCAATTGTCCAAATACAAATAATATTGGATCTGGTTCAATCGTCCAAATATATTTAATATAGGATCTGGTTCAATCGTCCAATTATAATTAATATAGGATCTTTGTCAATCGTCCAAATATATTTAATATAGGATCTGGTTCAATCGTCCAAATACAATTAATATTGGATCTGGTTCAATTGTCCAAATATAATTAATATTGGATCTGGTTTAATCGTCCAAATATAATTAATATAGGATCTAGTTCAATAGTCCAAATATAATTAATATAGAATCTTTGTCAATCGTCCAAATATATTTAATATAGGATCTGGTTCAATCGTCCAAATACAATTAATATTGGATCTGGTTCAATTGTCCAAATATAATTAATATTGGATCTGGTTTAATTGTCCAAATATAATTAATATTGGATCTGGTTCAATCGTCCAAAATTAATATAGGATCTGGTTTAATCGTCCAAATATAATTAATATAGGATCTAGTTCAATCGTCCAAATATAATTAATATAGGATCTTTGTCAATCGTCCAAATATATTAAATATAGGATCTGGTTCAATCGTCCAAATACAATTAATATTGGATCTGGTTCAATCGTCCAAATATAATTAATATAGGATCTTTGTCAATCGTCCAAATATATTTAATATAGGATCTGGTTCAATCGTCCAAATACAATTAATATTGGATCTAGTTCAATTGTCCAAATATAATTAATATAGGATCTGGTTCAATTGTCCAAATATAATTAATATAGGATCTGGTTCAATCGTCCAAATACAATTAATATTGGATCTAGTTCAATTGTCCAAATATAATTAATATAGGATCTGGTTCAATTGTCCAAATATAATTAATATAGGATCTGGTTCAATTGTCCAAATATAATTAATATAGGATCTGGTTCAATCGTCCAAATATAATTAATATTGGATCTGGTTCAATCGTCCAAAATTAATATAGGATCTGGTTTAATTGTCCAAATATAATTATTATTGGACCTGGTTCAATCGTCCAAATATAATTAATACAGGATCTGGTTTAGTCGTCCAAATATAATTAATAGGCCTATAGATAGGATCTAGGTCAATCATCCAAATACAATTAATATTGGATCTGAGTCAATCGTCCAAACACAATTAATATAGGATCTGGGTCAATTCGTCCAAATATAATTAATATAGGATCTGGTTCAATTGTCCAAATATAATTAATATAGGATCTGGTTCAATCGTCCAAATACAATTAATATTGGATCTAGTTCAATTGTCCAAATATAATTAATATAGGATCTGGTTCAATTGTCCAAATATAATTAATATAGGATCTGGTTCAATTGTCCAAATATAATTAATATAGGATCTGGTTCAATCGTCCAAATATAATTAATATTGGATCTGGTTCAATCGTCCAAAATTAATATAGGATCTGGTTTAATTGTCCAAATATAATTATTATTGGACCTGGTTCAATCGTCCAAATATAATTAATACAGGATCTGGTTTAGTCGTCCAAATATAATTAATAGGCCTATAGATAGGATCTAGGTCAATCATCCAAATACAATTAATATTGGATCTGAGTCAATCGTCCAAACACAATTAATATAGGATCTGGGTCAATTCGTCCAAATATAATTAATATAGGATCTGGCTCAATTAGAATGTCTCATGTATCTGAAAAAATGACAATTTTTTAAAGGTAAATGGCTGTAAACTATTTATTTAGGCCGAATTTAAACAAACAAATTAAGTTAAACAGTACTACATTTAATTTGTTTAAATTCAGCCCATATCAATTGTTTGCAACAATATTGCAAAAATCTTTTTTTAGTTTAAATCAAGTTCAATAAAGTAAACTTGTCTGAACATCACTTTTCATGTGGAGCAAGTGTTTTTATCTGTAGTTCACAATGTTATTACATGTAATTTCTGACTATACAGCCCTTTGAGACATCAGTAATGTTTTGGATTTTGAAAATTGACTAATCTGGTCAATTAATAACAAACAAAAGTGATGAAATTTCCATGAAGTAAACCTGGCCAAGGGCATGTTTGCACTGTGAATAAAGTTCACATTAGATTTGCAATAAAAACTCCAATGACACTGACAGACTGTGAAAAGCAAGTTTTCTGGGCTTTATTCACAACAGTGCTGGTCAATACAGTAAAGCCTTCAGGCAAAAGACAACCAGGTAAGAACGTTACATCTTTACTCAGGTGTAGACATTTACACAGAAGAATTGTGATATTATGGCAATAAAAAGTAATACAATACAAAAACTCAAAGAGATTGGAAGTATCCGCTTACAGAAATGTAAAAATAAAATATGTGCAAGTAAAACAAAAGGTCTTATTTTATTACTAAATCAGTTGGGTCTAAATTAGTTTACAACATGTTTTGATGTATGCGTTTTCTCTCCAGGTCATGGAGATTCTTCAGTCTGCCGTCATTTTTCTGCTGGTCTTCAGCTTCTCTTTCACAGTTAAAGTGCCAGATAATGAGTCCCCTTATGAAAAATTCCTGAGGCAGCACGTGGATCCTGATATGAGTGTGCAAAAATGTAACAGTGAAATAAGCAAAAGAAAAATCACTGCCAAAGCTGGAAACGACTGCAAAAAAGTCAACACCTTCATACAAGCAAATAAACGTGATGTTAACGCTGTTTGTGGCAATGCAGGAAATCGGGTGGTCGACACGAACCTGACTAAGAGCAATCAGCCTTTTCCTGTGGTCACGTGTCAATTAAAAAGTGGGGAGAGACGCCCGCATTGTCAATACCGTGGTAGAAGCAGCACACGTTATATTGTTTTGCGTTGTGATAAAGGCTGGCCTGTACATTACGATGAAGGCATCATTGATGTAAACAGCTCAGGCTAAACAAAGTTTCTCAAAGCTTTTAATAAAATGCATTGTTAATCATTTCCTCACTTATTTTTTTCGTTTTTTTCTTTTCTCCAAGTGTAACTGAAGGGATCCTCTATAAAACTCTTTGAATCATCTGCTTGATTGTCTTGTATCTCAAAAACATCAAAGGTCAATATCTGTAAACATGAACTTTCCTTTTTCTGTCTTTATACATTACTTCATAACCATTTCTATTATTTTACAGATAAATGCAGTTTAGTCAAGTATTTGTTTAAAATCTTTTGCATTTTGAACAGTTTACTAACATTCTGTAATAGTATTTGTTTATATTAGCATACGTTTCACAAGGTTTTTGTACTCAATAGAAACCATCGTGTTCTGTAGAAACTAGAAACTAAAATGTTTGAATGAAATAAAGTGAGAGTAAATGACTTTAACTTTTTTTGGAGTGAACTATCCCTTTAATAACACTGAATTTCGCATGACACAAGTAATTTGAAATTTTATTATTTACACTTTTAACTGAGGTAGGTATTTTATAGTCTATATATACTATAGTCTAGGTCAGAAGTGGCAAAAAATATTGGGGAAAAAAAAGGCAAAAAAGTGGCAAGGGCAAAAAAACACAAAACAGAGAACATTTACTTCACATTTCTACTCAACAGTCTATTTTTACAAACACAGTGCTCCAGCCAGCATGGTGAAAATTACTGAAAAAGTGTCCCGAGACCAATTAAATAACATCTAAACTCATCTTAAGCATGTTTCTTTATAAAAATTGAAACATGAGTTTTTTTTCTTCACTTGTAACAATTTTTCTAAATTACACAGTATTTAACTGTATGTTACTGTATTTTAACATTCTATATTGTATATTTCACAGTATATATACAATAGCGTAAATACATAAGTAGCTATCTCTTCATAACAAACCCTAATTGCTCACTAGCTTCAAACAACAGTTCTCGAGATCTACCTGAGCTCAAACTTCCCTCTCGCCCTCAAATGTGAGGGAGCCCTGGGCTCGAGGATCTTATGAGCTCAGGGCTCTTTGCTGAGACAGCATGCCAAACATGCTTTATAATAAATCATCAGCCAAATGTGAATTCTCGAAATATTGTTTAACCCACACTTTCACTTCGGTCCTGCAACAGATATATTTTATTTTTATTATTGCAATCACAACACAACAATGTGAGCGACAGTTCAACAGTAATAACATAAGTACAGTTATAAAAATTAAACATTACAAACAGATTCTTGAAAAGTGGAAAAAAAACAAGGTGCAAATTTGGAAAAAACATGTGTGCCGAGACAAATTACGCTACATTTTTGTCTTTTACATGCATGTATAAAGCTTCTAATCTGCATAGCAACAAACTGGGTAACAAAGGAGACAGGGTGTGACAAAAGAGACAGAAATAAACAAACACAGAGTGTGAACATGACAGTTTCTGCATTTACAAACCATGTTTTTTCTTTGCAATTACATATTTTTAACATCAGACACTATTAATGAGTACATTTTTACTGCAGTATCAGTACTTTTACTCTGCTACTTTCCTTCTACTTACAGTCAGTATTTTTTCTTGTCGATGGGGATTAAAAAAGTTCAGTCCTGTGATTCCTGTATAATTAAATCACGAATAGAAGGTAAATCACATCATACTGAACAACCTCAAGACACGGGCGATTAATAATTGCAGCAAACTGGAAGCATTAAAAGTGTCCAAAATCTTTACACACATTGACCCAAAGACTGTTTAGATGCATGTCACTGATGAGAAGATGACGGATGTTTACTGTATGATGACCGAAATGGCCTTAAACACCCAGCAGGCACAAGATGTCAACATGACGTCAGATTGACGCCGTACCCTAACATCATGAGGATGTTGCTGTTTGTTTGATTGTGAAAATCATGTTGACGTCAGAAGTCAATGTCAGGCCGACGTCCAACCTAAAATCAACCAAAGATAAAACTTCTAATGATGTAACAGCTTGACGTTACCACAATTTCTATCAAATTTTAGATTTTGGTTGCCATAACTGATGAATAAAGGTCAGTATTTGAAGTCAATATGATGTTGGTTCGACGTTGGATTTTAGTCATTTTCCAACAACCTAAAATCGCCAAAATATCAATGCCATTTGACATCAAAATAACGTTGTCCTTAGACACTAGTTGGACATTGAATTTTGGTCACCTGACATCGTAACCTAAATCTAACCTAAAATTAACATCTTATGTTGTTGTGTGCCTGCTGGGCAATAACTAAATGCACTACAGAACGTTACATTTACACACATACACAAATTACATGTAAATGGATCAGCTTTTCACAGCGTAATACTCACTACTCTTGAGTACTTTTCAAAAGGTCTACTTTGAGTAGATATTATACTTTGAGTAATATTTACAACAGATACTTTTACTCTACCTGCACCTCATTTTTAGGCAAATAATGGTACTTTTACTTGAGTATGATTTTTCAGTAGTCTTTCCACCACTGTTACTGGCACAATACAGTATACAGAATTTGATTAATCTGTGATACAGAAGCAGCAAAAGGTCAGCAATTTCTACTGACTGACTAGTCATTAGCAATTTATTTAATGCACAGACCTGGTGTTTCAATGGCCTTTGTAAGACATTTCAGTCATACCTTCAGTCAAGGTAGCAAACTCAAAAGGAAAAGGACTATTAGCAGCTTTCTCTGTGGGGTTGGTCAAGGGAATAGAGTAAGATAATGTAGTTGTGTTTGTGTTCAAGTAAAGTTCCAGGAGCTTTTTAAGACATTCAGGTAACATACTTAGTAGAGTTTTATTAATCAAAGTGTAACAGTGTATTTTACGCTTTATATGTAACACTAGTTGGTTTTTCAGCTGTTTTATGTGCATTTTCACATAAAAAAATGCTTAAAGGGAATGTCAACATGCGCAAATTAACGGCTGAATTGAATAAACTTTTTAAATAAGAAAAAAAATGTGTATTTACTACGATGAAAACACATTTAGGGAAAGTTCCAGCATATGGATCAAAGTCATGTGATTTCATTTAAACAGATCATGTGATGAAGTCATTAGGTGCGTTCGACATGAAGCTCAGCTGCAGCCGGTGATCAACGAGATTAGCCGAGCGCAGGCGGGGCGGAGTTGAAAACGGAGCCGTCAAGACGGACAGCTGGACACTTCGGGACTCAAAGTTGCTGCAGTCATGATGACCGATCACATGGCGTCATCATATTTTTTTGTTATTTTTATTTATAACAACAAAACATTTACAAATAAAACAGAATACAGTTTCTACAAACTGTAGTTCCTTTTTAAACAATAAGAGAGAATTATGAATAAAATATATAACAAATGCATGAGAGAAATAAGAGGAAATGAGAGGTTAATATAAACATAAAAACGAACAGGTCTATTAAATACAAAGCAATAAGTATAAATTCTAGGAGTTAAACATCAATCTTTAGGCTAATACTTCCTGTTTGAATCTGCTAAAAAAGGGTTTACATATATGTACATTTATAGATATAAAAATTTCCCATGTAAAAAGCAAAACAAGGTGTTTTGATTAGGTCTTAATAAATGACATTATTTTGGATGATGAATGAATTTTCAAAAAAGCATTTTAATCCAAAAAGATTGTGTTGAAAAGAACAAAAGGTAAAATAAGTGAGCTATGTAGAAGTTTCCCAGAAAGAGCAGGTAGCCTTTAAACTGCTAGACAGAAAATAAAATATATATTTATATTATAATAATAAAGCCATTTTATAATTATTTAATAAAATAGTTATTTACTTTAATTTGTTAAGAGAGCTTTAGGGTGGCAGGATCAATGATGATGTTTTTCTTATTTTAAGTCTGTAAGACTTATTTGAGTTCAAATTTAGGTTATTCACTAAAATATACACTAAAATATATCATTTAAATCGTTCATGGAGATGAATGCAGTAAATAGTCCGTATAAAAAAGTTAAAAAATAAACTTGTGCAAACAAGCTAACCTTTATAACCAGATTATTTAACAAAAGATGATTACTGCAGTAAAATATTTGTAGTCTTTTAATAAGCAAGATGTGTACAGGATAGAGAGGGTGTGAAAAGTGAATTGTTTGTTTTGAAACTTTTGAATCGGAATTTGTCCAATTATAAACCCGAAATACACGTGTTTGTTGTCATGTGGTGAACTCGGCCAATCGTGTAATATCGGTGTCGTCATCAAAGCTCCTGCAGTCGCTCTTCAGAAGCTGCACGGTCTGAGTCTGCAGTCTGATCTCGGAGCGCTGTCGCGGTACTTTGATGCCACATGTGACAGTCACGTGGCGTCGGCGCAGCATCAATCCGGACAAGATTTCTAACCAGAATGCACCGCTTTAAGACAGATTTCAATCGATCTGCGCAGCGCTGCATGAAGTCGAACGCACCTATTAATAGACAAAGCAGCAGTCTGAGGACATTGTAAAACATCTGAAATTTTGTTTTGGTTATTCTGAAATTGTTTAGTTCAACACCACAGAGGTTCAGTATTATAATTGTTATTATTTTTATCATTATTAACTAATAAATAATTAGTTTACAAATAATTAACAAATTGTCATTAAATATAAGAATATAAGTAAAACAAAGGTTATATTATTTGGGAATTTAAAAAGTAGTCATAACATAGATTTACAAATTGATAGTGAAGTTATAGAAAGAGTATATGCAATAGAATTTGTTAGAAACCGCAAATAAATAATCTGATATTAATATTAGTCAAAACTCTAGCATTAGTGTATAAAGCAAGATATATATATATATATATATATATATATATATCAAGCTTATGTTGCCATATAAGGGTTATTGTGTTGAAATTTGGGGAATACATTTATTTTTTATACAAATCCTTTATTTTTTAAATTGAAGATACTTAAGTTCAATTATTTGCTTAAATTTAAAACAGCACAATTTATGTTTAAAGCTAAGAATAAATTATTTCCGAAATGCAAACAAAAGTTTTTTGAAGAAAGACAAGGGGGATATATTCTGAGAAGAACAACATTTTTGGAGGCTGAAAACAAGGACAACTTTGAAAAGTTTGTGTATGTCTGTCTGTGGTGTGAAATTATGGAGCAGTCTAGATCAGACTCTCAAACAATATCAGGATTAATTAATCAATTTAAAAAGTGGTATAAATATATGTTATTAAAGGAATATAATGATGAAGGTGATTGAAAAAAGATAAATTGAGGAAGGTATGATGAAACTTTAATCAATGGCTATTTGCAGTACTATAAACACCTATTTTTGGATTGATGTTATAAAACGTAATATGGAATGTACATATGGAATCAAGCATATAATTTGTCAAAGATGCCAAAAGGATAAAATGTATTTCATGTACAAAGAAGAGATTAGTAAAAAAAGAAATGACGAATGATGTATGTGGTAATGAGGTGGGAAAATAATAAGCTTGTGATTCATTCCGCTCCATTTTTGACCATGTTGATATGTATTTTTTGCTAAAGATATTTTATGTATGATATATCATTTCTGTTCGAAAATAAATAAATCAAATCAACTAAACTGTCTTGACCAAAGAGCATCTCACACTACATGTACATTACATTTCATCTTCTGAGGCGCAAATAATCATATAAGAAAAAGGCTCACAGTAGCTTCTACCACAGAAAATGTAATTTTTTTCCTTCATATCTTTTACCAGTTGATTAGGAAGAGGCTATTTAGTTATCTTTGACAAGGTGAATGAAAAAGGTAATTTATTTGTAAATGTTTTAAGGGGTATTATTGCAGGTCTAATGTGCATCTCTAGATGTAATCAGCTAATGTTAATTTTAAAATAGTTTATACTTGCTTATACAATCATGGGTTCTGGGCATTAGTAACCATTCTGATGCAGGTCACAGGCATGCTGTGTGGAGTGCATTAAAGCTGGCCACAGGTGTATGTGTTGAGGAATTGTCCCGTCAACAAGATGTTGATCACAGAGAGCTGAAGCTCTGCTCATTCACCTTCTCACTCCAGCAGAGAGCTGATCCTCCACTGATCCTCTTCAACACCTCCTCCAAACTGAAGCTAATCAGTTGATTTAGCACCAAGTTTCTTCGTGATTCTCCAATAGCGCATTCACACCAGTTTTTCTTTCAGTATCAAAGTGTTGCTGCATTGTTTTATTAGCAGCCAGAGTCTGATTTAAGAATCTCCCATGTCCCTCAAAGGGTGGCTACTAGGATCATCAGCAACACCTTCCTGCTGGAAAATTCACAAAACAAAGAAATTATTAGACCTAAGAGATATTTTGGATTTGAGTTTTTCGATGTTGTTAATGAAATACTTTTCCTTTTGTTTTTGCCCCTCAAATTTTTAAGGGTGCTTTCCCACCTGTGAATGGAGTCAGTTGTTCCGAAACAGAGATTACAATTGTTACATTGTTGCTCTTTGCTCTTGGAGCGGTTCGCTTTCACACTGCAAAGTTTGTAATCGGACCAAAAGAGCTAAAACAAGTCACGTGCGAGTAAACTCTCCTTACATTGGTCAGAGTGTCAGGGTTTATTTTGCAGCGTCCCGCTCAGCTGTCAGGAGAGGTGGTGGTTTGGTGTTGATAGACAGGGTGCGCACGCTATGTGTCTGAGGAGAGATGCGGTGGGGAGGGGTGAGAAGGGTGCGCGACAATGCCTATTTGAGGACCGGGAGGGAGACACGAGATTACCGGGAGATCATCACTCGTTTGCGGGCATCCGGAGACTCGCGAAACTTCCCGCCATACTCATAATTCTCTCTTCATATAGCCGTAAGCCTATTATATATCCATAAAACACTGTGATATAACCGCGCTTGGATCGGATCGCTTTCTCACTGCAATCGAACCGCTCCAGGGTTCGTTTCAATCGAGCCGAGACCACCTCATTCAAGCGATCTCGGAGCGATTACTTTGGCGCGGAACAGAGCGCGATTGCCCTGTTCACATATGCCAAACGAACCGCGCAAACGAGATACGTTCCCAAACAAAAGTGTAGATGTGAAAGCACCTTAAGATTGTATCCAAAAACATCTTTACTTCACTTGTTCCAAACCTGTTTGAGTTTCTTTATTCTGTTGAACAAAAAATATTTACTGAAGAATGTTGGGAAAAACAGCTGTTGCACTTAATAGTGGAAGAAACAAATATAGAAGTTAATAGTTTTCAGGTTTCCAACTATTAACTTCTATGTTTGTTTCTCCAACTATGAAGGGCAACAGCTGTTTTTTTTTTTCATTTTTCATCATCTTTTGTGTTCAATAGAATATAGAATCTCAAACAGGTTAAAAAGAAGTCAAGGGTGAGAAAATGATGGCGGAATGTTCATCTCTGAGTAAACTATAACTTCAAATACCACTTACAGTTTTATTTTTTTTTGATCAGAATATTCCACATCTTGTTAAATCCCGTGTTTTATACTTACCGGCTGTGCCGCTCTATCACTTCTGTGACGAAGATAGTAAATCACACCACCAACAACAGCAGCGACGACAACCAGCAGAATAACTATTCCTGCTATTGCACCTCCAGACAGACGTGAAGGTGGAGGAGCTGAAAAGAAACAGTGATTATTATCAGAGAGTGATGGATCTTAAATTCAGTATTTTACAACAGCTCTGATCCACATTCACACTTCTCTGGTTTGGTCATCAGTTTCAATAAGGAGGTTTAATCAATAACTACACATGGCAGACAATTGGGTTGCAATATTTATTACAAAGTTCAAAGAGTTTAAGTAAACTAAAATAAATGAAAGTAAACCTGAGTTAATCGGGGATGACCTGTGCTTAAGTAAATTAAGGAAATTTAAATTTTTGGATGAACTATCCCATCCCTTAAATGCATCATTCAATCATTATGACTACCTAAATTTACAAAAATTAACACACCAGTGCTCAACACAATATTGCCAATACACTGCAGCCAATAATCATACAGATTATTATTATTATTTTTTACCTTTGACGTCAAAGGACATTGGAGATTATAAATGAGAAAGTATGGGGAGCAGAGATCTAAAATCTACAACCCAACAATTCTTGGGTTAAAGAATAATGGACTGTTTTAATTTTAAGACATTTAAGAATAAAATACTCACAAACGACAGTGAGGCTGAACGTCTTCTCTCTGGTGATGCTGAAGTGTGTGTCGTTTCTGATGAAAATCTCTAGTGTATAATTTCCAGAATCTGTGTTTCTGATGTTCGTGATGGTCAGAGATGCAGTTTCACTGTCCAGTTTCAGTCGGTCTGTGAATCTCTCTTTACACTGAACATTACTGCAGATCTGACTCTGACCTCCGGTGATCTCAGCAATGAGAATATTATTTAAAAAACACTTCATCACAACAATTATGTCTCTTCTCACGCCAGGATTGAAAGTGACAGACTCTCCCGGGTTTTTCTTTACTTGATTATAAACAGCGGGATTATCTAAAAATCAAAGCAACAGAGAATGAGATGAGATCTTTGGTAAAAATGAAAAAATACTACAGGTATCTGTATGTAGAGTGGTATGAAAAAGTGTTTCTCTCTTATTTCTTTTTTTCCATGTTTGTCACATCTTTTAGATCATCAAAATAGACGGTAGAAAGTTTTTGTTAAGTGGAAACAAAATGTTTGCCCTCATGTTAAAACTTAACTTAACAGCCACATCCAGGCCTAGTTACTGCCACACCTGTTCGCAATCATGAAATTGCTTAAATAGTAGGGCTGCTTAATTATGGGAAAAATCATAATCATGATTATTTTGGTCATAATTGTAATCACGATTATTTAAAATAATTATCAGTTGAAGTCAAAATTATTCACCCTTCTGTGAAATTTTTTTATATAAAAATATTTTTCATAATATAGGGAATTTTTAACAGTATTTCCTATAATATATTTTTAATAGGCTTATGTTTTATTTCAGCTAGAATAAAAGCAGGTTTAAATATTTTGAAACTTATTTTATTAGCTTAATATCTTTATCCCCCCTTTTATTTACAAAATATATATTTTTGATTGTCTGCAGAAGAAACTACTGTTATACAATGACTTGCCTAATTACACCAATTTAAACCTATGAATATCACTTTAAGCTGAATACTAGTATCTTAAAAAAATATCTAGTAAAATATAATGTGCTGTCATCATAGCAAAGATAATAGAAAACAGTTATTAGAGATGAGTTATTATATCTGTTATGTTTAAACTGTGCTTTACGCATCTTCACTGTAAGAAAAAAAAACCTTCTGCTACAAAAGTCCTTCAGTCAAGAGCAGTGAGGGATTTTCTCCAGTTGTTGTTTTAATGATAAAAACAAGCAGCAGAAATATTGTGCACTTTGTCTTTAAGAATAGTGCGGCTCTGATATGGTTTCTCTTTCACGTGTCTTTTGATTCTGAACTCGTTTATTACACAATCAAGGGTTAATTTGAATAATCACTGAACACCGTGCTCTGACACAAATGTGCATGTATTTGACCATTAAAACGCTCACATTAAGATGGCGTTAGATTTGTGTGCCCTGCTCGTCTCCGAGCCTGTCCGAGGTAAAGCGCGATGCGCGCACACACACAACAGCATGTGCTCTTTCGCGCTTTTAAAAAAAATATGAATGATTCGAACGTACATCAATGAATGATCAGTGCATGATGATTGCAGCATCCCGTGCTGCAAAAGTTACATTACAGCACATGCTTTTAGTCATTTTCACGTAGAACTGCGCTGTGCGGAGCAACATGTGTACTGGAAAGGGGGTGGTACATAATGGAATAATCGTTTATCTCGATCAATGGTTTTTCATAATCGTTAAAAGCCAAAATCGAAATTGAAACCGGATTTTCGATTAATTGCACAGCCCTATTAAATAGGACCCGCTTGACAAAGTGAAGTAGACCAAAAGCTCCAAGGTCACAAATGACTTCACAACAACAGCCAAAGAACTGTAGGCGTGATTAAACAAGATTTTAAATTTTTAAAAGCAGCCAGTTAACAAAAATGATTCTGTATTAAATTAAAATAAATGTTTGATGTAAACTGACAGAAGTGCACATGCTTAACCTTTGTAAAGACATATATATATATATATATATATATATATATATATATATATATATATATATACTGCATACAAATCAATACAGGCATAATAATAGAGATTCTAAAGGTTTATTAAAATCCTTTTTTCATTATTAGTTGTTTTATTAATTAAATATTAGTTCAGATTATATTTTAACAATACTAAAATACTCTTTTTTTAATTATTATTAAATTAAGAGTACAGATAAAGAAAATCAAAGGATGTTTAAACATTCATGAATAACTCACCTTGGACAGTAATAATAAGGATCTTTCCCCCATTGCTATTGCCAATGCCATCAACTACTAGTTGATATTCTCCAGAGTGTGTTTTATTGATTTTCATGATGGTCAGAGATCCAGTCTTAAGGTCCAGCTTCAGTCTGCCTCTGAATCTCTCAGTGCCATTAATACACTGATTATCGGTACAGATAAAACTGACATTTCCATTGAGTTGAGCGATGCGAGTCTTATTAAAATACCATTTAATTTCTGTAAGATTTTCAACACCAGTGTGTAGAATGACTGAATCTTCTTCCATCACTGACACCGGAACATCTGTACCAGTCACACCTGAATACGAAGAAAAATACACAATAAAAATATACAATACATCATAGATACTGAAAGTAGTTAAAACATTTTCATAACGTAACATTGATTATTGATCATTGATCACTGACTCATAGATGATCTTCACTATCAAAACAATCAATGCATTGTCATATTTTTGTGATTATTATTTTCATAATATATCTTCTGACCAATATATGTAACAAATGTTCTGATTGGATAGCCATCCATTGGAAGAAAAAGAAAGTAAATGCCATTTGAATGCATTAAAGACTATTAAATCTGGGTGTTAAAAAAACAAGTAAATGTTACATTAATATCAAATGAAAGCATTGAGCACAGATGTGCATCATGCTCCTTTTGGTGCCTCTGTTAATTAAGAACAATATAACATCTTTTCTTTCATACACTTTTTGTTTTTGAGAAAGTAGGTCATATATAAATAATGTGAATCTAGTGGCGCAGCGGATGTGTGTTATTGGGGTCCCCTAAAAATTAAGGTGGTTAATTTATGTAACTTCCTTGAAGGAAAACTGTTAATCGATCATTAACAGAATAAATAAATTGTTATGTTTGATTTAATGATCAATAAAAATATTATAATCCATTACATCCCATGTTTCACTTTAAGTATTCACAGTGTTTTCAGACATGCTTCTTACATCAACGGGATCTCCACAGCATTGTGTACTGCCCTCAATTCTTTTTATATAGTACACAAATGAATGTCGCAGCTTAAAGAACAATTGCTATATGGTCAAATATGCTGATGACAGTTTTTTTTCATCCTAGTAAACAAATACAGATTGTAATGACAGCGATAATCATGAGTTTTTTTAAGTGGTGCAAAGAAGCTGAACGACAACTGATCATCACAAAAACGAAAGAGGAAAACAAATTGAAAGGGTACAGGAATATAAGTATCTTTGATCTCACATTTAAGTTCTAGCAGAACTCAGAAGCGGTTACAAAGAACGTGCATCAGAGAATGTATATTCCTAGAAAACTGAACTCCTCCTGTGTAGAAAAAATATATACTATTGACTATTATATGGCCTGTAATAGATGTCAGTTTAGTAAATTGGTTTTAATCAAAACTAAAATGGTCCTGTTGGTCTATTGTTATTTTATTTATTAACTTTTTTTTTCATGCATGCCTTCTATTGGTAGCATAACCAAAGCCAATGAAGCATATTGGAACATGTAGCCTACAGGGGGTCGCACACTGCATGCGCTGCGCCATGCATTTTAGAATTGTAAACATAGATATTGAGGTGAAGTTGGTTTTATATTTGCACAATTATTCAGTGACAACTCGTGACATGCTCTCTATATAGTTACCATGGTACTTTAAATATTTGGTCTGAAATAACATGTAAGAATAACTTAAAAAACCATCAGCACTATTTAATTGAATGTTAACAATGTTGTACGCTGATAGTCAAATGCCCCTTTCACACAGTGATACCAGTAAATATCTGGAAAATTTCCGGAAAGACTTTACCGGTATTTTCAAAAAAGCGCTGTTCACACAGACGAGGACGTTACGGAAATTTTCCGGAAAAGAGCATTCACACATCCATTCCAAAATACCGGTAAATTCTGACATCATTCACCACAAATGAGCTTTAAACGGCTGCGCTTGTGTTTGTAAACATTTGACTAAATTACAAACTCTGTGGATGATCAATGTTGTGAACAACTTTCGCAGGATCACTTTCGCATGTCGAGATGTTCATAATATGAGCGTGTGCAGGCGCTCACAGGCTGTTTCACAGGCACACGCAAAGCTTGAAGGTAAACAAACAACGGCTTATCATAAGCATCTCCTCGATGATTATTTATACAGTTGGCGTTAAGAAGAACATATAAACGTGATCTGACTAACTTCTAGCAGCTAAATGTGTCTGGAAAAAATATTCAAAGGCTTTTATTCTCACAAACCACGCGGACGTAAATGCGTCTGACTGTTGTGATTGGCTAAAGCAGACGTCTCACGTCAGCACATTCTAGACGTGCACGCGCTTATTACGGCAATCTTGCTTCTGCATTCACACAGCGCAGCATTCCGGCAAATTGCCGGTAATGTTACAACTTCTCTTTTCGGAAAATAGCCAGAACGAATTTACCGGTATTTTCAAAAAAGAACCTGTTCACACATACAACCTTTCCGGAAAATTGCCGGCAATTTTCCGGAAAGGTCTGTATGTGTGAAAGGGGCTATTGGCTGCTAATATGATTTCACTATCAGAAATACTTTTCTGAAATTATATTATTAAGGAGAATGTCTGAAAGTGCGAATGTAAAACCAACTTTACCTCAATAACACAGACTTCTATCAGAGTAGGCACGCTGGCGCAGGAAGTCGGCGGCTGTCCAGCTACGACTCAGTACACTGTTTACATTTCTGGCATGCCACAGAGCTCTGCATAATGGATTAGGTGCACAAGATGGTGCCGGTGAGCTTCCGAGACGCAAGTGTGTGCGCGTTTATCTCCGGTTGTATAGAACTATGAAGGAAGAGATGAAGATTTTGCATTTTTGTTACCAAAAATGAGCATGTTTAAAAAAAAAAGTATTTTATCAGCGACAGGAGAGGACATCTTCACTACATTGCTGCATACCTAAATGCATGAATTTGCTTTTATTATTTCCCAGTTGATGCTGAAGTTTATGCTCAGTGGTTACTCAAATTCCATTGGAATCATGTTTTTTATGTATCTTTTTTTATTGTTATTAAAAAGAAGCTTGACACAAACGTGGTCAAGTTGAGGTGATTTTATTTACATTTTACATTTACATTTAGTCATTTAGCAGACGCTTTTATCCAAAGCAACTTACAAATGAGGACAAGTAAGCAATTTACACAACTAAGAGCAACAATGAATAAGTGCTATAGGCAAGTTTCAGGTCTGTAAAGTCTAAGAAGGGAAGTATTAGTAGTATTGGTATTTTTATTTTTATTTTTTTATGGGTACAGTTAGTGTGATATTCAGAGAGGCAATTGCAGATTAGGAAGTGAAGGGAGACTGAATAGTTGAGTTTTTAGTCGTTTCTTGAAAGTAGCGAGTGACTCTGCTGTTCTGATGCAGTTAGGGAGTTCATTCCACCAACTGGGCAGATTGAGCGTGAGCGTGAGCGAAAGTGATTTCTTCCCTCTTTGGGATGGAACCACGAGGTGACGTTCATTCACAGAACGCAAGTTTCTGGAGGGCACATAGATCTGCAGAAGTGAGAGCAGATAAGAAGGAGCAAGGCCAGAAGTCACTTTGCAGGCAAACATCAGGGGCCTCATGTATCAACGTTGCGTACGCACAAAAACTTTGCGTACGCCAGGTTTCACGCTCAGAATCGCTCACGTTTGGATTTACTAACAATGAACTGAACGTGGGAATGTGCGCAGGTTCACGGCAGCTTTTTGGCAGGCGTACGCACATTTTTTGTGCGTGTCTGTTTTATTTCCATTGGCGACTCCTAGAGGCAGTTGTGTTAAATTCCTCTCAACAAAGTGTCTGAGCCTTGCAATGGCAGCTGTATGAGACGGGTTCATCTAGCAGGTAAATAAGGTTTCCATACCATACAGTTGAGCAGCTAAACATTAAAGCACAATTTGCAGCAGTCGCCTGTTTTCCCAATGTAATCTGAGCGATCTACTGCACGCACATTGCTATAAAGACACTATCTGAAGATGTATTTGCATGTGTGAATCAGAAACATTTCCATTCAATAAATGTGCAAATAAAATATGATGCACAGACTTATTGATGATTCCTACTTGTCTTTCTCGTGATAAATAGTTGGCAAAATCTGATATGTAGCGGGGAAAAAAAGAAGAAAGAGTTCATCAGACGCTGGATTCGAGCCGAGTTCATGCTCGAATGTGTCAAAACACGACCGTATGCGTCTTACGAGCGCGCCACTGACACTGTTAAAAGTGCTGCAACATTTTACAGATATAAACCAGACTATTTATTTTTTTAATGCACTCAGTGCGATGTTCAGACCCAACTGTGTTAACCGCATCAGCTAAACTCTCCCACTCTATTTTTTCTTTTGTTGTTAATTTCGGAGAACAAACTTGCAAATAACACCGCTTTTCTCCGGTCTACCTCCGAAAGCAGCACCTCCATTTCACATTCTGTTCAAAGTTTCTCTTTTTGTTTGATTTTGCCGTTGCTTTTTCGTTGGGTTTTTCCATTAGCATAGTCATTAGCATATTCATACGGGGGAGGAGGTAGGGAGGGGTTTTGCGCTCGTGCATGTTGCGCTCAGTTTCACTTTCATTCTGATGTACAAAAGAATATGCGTGAGATTCGGCGTACGCAGTGTTTCATACATCTGAATTTTTTTCTGCGTACGCACATTTACAGCTTTGTGCGTACGCAATGCTTTAGTAAGATTTCCACGCAAGTCTTCGTACATGAGGCCCCAGAGCTTTGAATTTGATGCGAGCAGCAACTGGCAGCCAGTGCCTCCTGCATGACATAATTAGCCAATCTCTCTTAACTCTTAATATTATTAGTCTCTCTTTTGTCTCTTCTCAACAGACATAGCAATCAAGAGCACAAGCTCTCAATACACTCACATTTACAACATACATATGAGATGTATATCACAGATTGTAAAATAAATAATAGTAATATAGTAGTTATACATTAATCTTCCTAAAATAAAAATATAATAATTATTCACTACAGCATTTGTGTTTCTTAATTATTAATCAACATACCTGCACATCACATACAATTAGGCAAACTTTCAAAATCAGTTAAATTCCAGTTAACCACAAGGTATGTTTGAATACAGATATTCATTTATTAAACATAATGCTGCAATGTACATCCTATTAATAAAATACAATGCTTATTTAGTGTTTACAAATATTTTTACACTTAATTTACATATACATGTAGTCATGTATAAATATGATGAGGTGCAGCTTGTGGTTCACTCATCTCGTAGTCAGATGGAGTTGTCTCTTGGATGGAGCATCTAGGTTGATGATCCCAAGCTCTCGGTGTGAGTACAGTTGTTCCATGCAAAAGTACAAGGAACAACTCCTTTTTAAGGTTTTTCAGTCCACAGGGTGTCAAAACAAACTTATCTTTAGGATGTACACTACACACTACTAGCTTTTGTAGGACTAAAGTGATACAAACGGAATTTGAGTAACCACTGAGCACGAAATTAGGCATCAACAGGGAAAAAATGAAAGCAGATCAGTGTAGTGAGTTGTGCAGCAATGAATTGAGGATGTCCTCGCTGATACTTTGTTTTTTTTGTTATTATTGTTATTTTAATCATGCTCATTTTTGGTAACGAAAATGCAAAATCTTCACTTCTTTCATAGTTCTATACGACCGAAAGTAAATGAGCATACCAAGGGCGTAGGTTTGCACCTGACATTGGTGGGAACGGGTAAATCAAACTATATATTCTTGAGGTTCGAAAGACCAATAGTTTGATCATTATTATTATTTTTGAATTTTTCGTATTTTTCATTTGTTATTTGCCTGTAGGCTTCAGTTTTTAATTTATTATTTTTTTAATTAGATTTTTTGATTGATATTTGATTTCTAAATGTAATTATAGATGATAATAAATGTGTATTTTAAAAATAAGTATATTTTCATTTTTTTTTATTCAATTTTTTTATTATTTATATAACTGTAATATAAAACTTACAGTTTAAATACACATTTGTAAATAAACACTTACAATAGTAAAGTAGTATGGTAAGCAATTTGACAAAATTGTTGGAAATATTTTTTGGCACATCAAAAAAAGTGCTTATGATAAACATCTGACAAGATAATCTAGCAAAAATTAGTTCTTAAAATGTCACTAAAATGCAATATTATGCATAACTAAATAGAAAATCAGGCAAATAACAGCAACAAGGTCGAGTATTTCAGAAAAATACCCCTTTCAATGAGCTACAGGCTCGATAGTGTAATAATACAAAAATATTTATTGACTGATATAAAGTTAGAGCTTAATAAAGACTTTTAGCCATAGTGCAAATGAAACACGTCTCATATATCAGTATTGTGCCAAAACACAGGCTGTATTTTTTCTGACACATTGTTTCAACTGAAATTGGACATGAGCGCAGTAGCTAGTGCTGTCGCATCTCAGCAAGAAGGTCGCTGGTTCGAGCCTCGGCTCAGTTGGCGTTTCTGTGTGGAGTTTGCATGTTCTCCCTGCGTTCGTTCGGGTTTCCTCCGGGTGCTCCGGTTTCCCCCACGGACCAAAGACATGTGATATAGGTGAATTGGGTAGGCTAAATTGTCCGTAGTGTATGAGTGTGCGTGTGAATGTGTGTGTGGATGTTTCCCAGAGATAGGTTGCGGCTGGAAGGGCATCCGCTGCGTAAAAACTTGCTGGATAAGTTGGCGGTTCATTCCGCTGTAGCGACCCCGGATTAATAAAGGGACTAAGCCGACAAGAAAATGAATGAATGAAATTGGACATGCTACTCTAAGAGATTAGGAGAACTGACGGGGATCATATACTGTACTTGAGCGGTTTATTCCGCAGTTAGTTTTCAAGGGCATATTATTGACCGACTATATCAGTCAGCTATATTGATCAATAGTATCTGGATGCAGCCTTTATGATGCAAGCTGAGACTGCATCACTCAGCAATGCAATGTTAGACACAATGTACTAGGGTAGGGTTAGGTGAGCCCATTAAAAAGCATTGGATGCAGCCCAGATTGCACTGCACCAGGTCTGGAGCCAGACCCATCTCTTAATGATAGACTGTGCGTTAAAGCGGGGAAAACACGAACATTAACGGCATTATCATGATGGACTCATTCAGTAGCGAACTTGCGTTTATGTGACTTACATTTTCGTTGAAAAAAAGCTCCTTATGTACACCTTTTTTGCTGCCGCCATCCTCACTTGTGTGTCTCCCAACACACCATACTCTAGCACGGGAAAAAAAAAAATCAATCCTGCTGCATTTGGCGCTACTTGTATCTGAATGCTGCCACATCCTCTCACATGATAGCAGGGAAAGGCACAGCTAATCAAAATGTCCTTATGTGTTTTGGGGACAAGAGGACTTAAGGAGAGAACGTGATTAAACCTGCGTGTCTAGGTTAACGTTGACAGTGCTTTTATTTTAAAGTGGATTAAATTATTGGTCGGGACATTTTTGGTGTTGGTGAATATAGGTGGGGATGCGTCACTTCCATCCACCATAAATCTACACCCCTGATGCATAGAGATATATCAAGCTGCAGGCCCGCAGAACCACACACGTTTTAGGCACACACAATGTAGGCAAAACATATATGGTTACGACGGATGTTATTGTTATTAACGTCTTTTTGAACATCGTCATCGATATATTTTGATATATATGGTTAATAAATATTGTACACAATAAACAATAGGGTTTACTTCACAAATATTGCGATCGAGAAGGCCGAATGGGGAGCGTTGTTTCCGTTCGCCATTCAATATAATAGACTGAACAGTTTTTAATCAGTCATTATGGCTGATCAGTCATTATTATCTGACAATAATATAGCACATACTCGCTTGCTGGCCTTGCTGAACGATCTAAATTGGACAGGTTTTATTGATAATGGATTCATTTATAATGAAGGAAATAATAGCAAGTCAATATAGGCAATAATACATTATATGTAGTAAAAAGCTTTTTACAAGTAAAATGTGTGACACTATATTAATATTTTACTCAAGCGATTTAATAGTGTTTATTTGCTTAACTTTCTAATAACCTTTTAATTAACGATTTCCCACATTTAATACTGTAGTAATTTATAGCAAGCAATAAATTGTTTTTAAACCAAAATTTAGCAATAGGAACTAATTAACTACTAATAATTAATAAAAAAAAGTTTACAAAAAAAAAAAAAAAAAAAAAAAAAAAATATATATATATATATATATATATATATATATATATATATATAACACAGGTGTGAGTTTAGTAAAAGATAGTAGTTTATACATAAATTTATAATTTTAATCAGTTAAGATAATCAGTTTATAACTATATATATATATATATATATATATATACACACATATATACACACACACATATACATATATATATACATATATATATATATATATATATATATATATATATATATATATATAGTTTAAATGATTAACTATAGTATGCTAATTTTTTTTATGTGACATATTATTGTTTGCTTTTTATATTTTACAACAAAGTGATTTTAACCAAGTATAATAAGATTAAGATCCTGAATTAGTTTATTACACTTAATCCTACAATTAGACAGTCTGTTATGTTTTCCTTGTTTATGTGGACACATGAATAAAGCCATAAGTGTCTTTAACCAATTATTTTTATTTACATAATTTGAGTTTAGAAACTGCAGAGCTGTTTAAATGATCGTTACGATATAATAATAATAATAATAATAATAATAATAATAATAATAATGACTTAAACCATACTTGTGAAATTCTATAGGTGGCGATAATGTTAAAGAGTTATTTACCCAGCTAACATAAGACCAGCGGGCCACTGGCGGCCCGCCGGCGGTCCACCGGCGGGCGCCGCCCGCGGTCCACCGTCAATTTGCTCATCGTTATTCCAGCGGCCCACCAGCGGCTACCGCCGCTTTTCCGGCGGTGGTCCGTCATCGGACCGCTGGTTTTAAATAAGTGTCTGCTGGCGGCCCACGGTCAGTCCACATGTCATTTTTAAATATTACATTAGCCTTTACAATTGTATTCAATATAAATATGTCCAATAATGAAATCAAGTACAAAATACTTAATCATTATAACATTTATTTATAATACTGCATAACGAACATACATTAAACACTTAGATTGTAATGAAATGTTTCAAAATCACATACGTTAACAAATATAACAAAATAAATAAATACATATAAAATACATACAAATATAATATAACAACATACATACAACAGTTACATTTTACAGTAGTTTTATAAGTAATGTTAATGGTTTAAATATGAACTAATATGAACAATACCTGTACAGCATAATTTATGTGCAGCATTTACTAATGCATTAATAAAATCAGTTATGCTTGTTAACATTAGTTAATACATTGCGAGTTAACATGAATAAACAATTAACAACTTTTACCATTTACCAACATTAGCAAAGATGAATGAATACTGTAATAAATGTATTGTTTATTATGTTAGTAAATACATTAACTAATACATACAACCTTATTGTAAAGTGGTAGCCATTCAACAATGAGTTTTCTATAATAAAGACAAACTTTGAGACTTCTCTTTATAAAAATAAACTATTAAAAACATTATAAATAAATTTGTATTATTTATATTTTAACATTATTATAATTATTTATTATAATATTATATTAAATTATAACTTTCTTATGACATTTAACGTTATTATAAATAACATAAAAATAAATTACATTGTGAATAAATTTTAAAATACATATTACAATAAATGTAAACGTGCATTATTATTACAAAATCAAACTGTAAAACATCTGGAGGTTATTAATAACTACACTGGGGCAACCCAGTGGCTCAGACTGTCACCTCACAGCAAAAAGGTTGCTGGTATGAGTCCCGGCTGGGTCTGCTGGCGTTTCTGTGTGGAGTTTGCATGTTCTCCCTGTTTTGGTGTGGGTTTCCACCACAGTCCAAACACTTGTGCTATAGGTGAATTTGAACATAGTGTAGAAGTGTCTGTGAATACGAGAGTGTATGGGTGTTTCACAGTGCTGGGTTGCAGCTGGAAGGCTGTGTAAAACATATGTCAAAGTAATATCGAGTTCCTTACGCTGTGGCGACCCCTGATATTAAGCTGAAGGAAAATGCAGGTTCTTTTGTCTGCCCCCTCATGATTAGCAGATCCTAATAAAAATGTCTTGGAGGCTCCCTTCCGCTGTCTCTCTTGTAGCAGGCTTCTTTCTTATCCAGAAATAACAGAATCATCAGTCATCATTATTGTCCATCATCAGTAACTAGATCATTATTGACATTAATGTTTGTATTTTTTATTGTCTTTTTATTGGACATCAAGACTGCATTGATCTGATCGATAACATTAATTTACACTTTAAAAGTAACACTGAAATATTTTTAAAGTTTAAAATAAGGATTTTTAATTTCAATACATTTTAAAATATATTTGGTAACACTTTATTTTGATGGTCCATTTGAGTATTAATAGACTGTCTGCTTAATATCTGTTGATTCTGCTCCTTCAACAGACATTAACTGACTTTAAGAAACTTACCAAGTACATGTCAACTTACACCAACCCTAACCGCAACCCTAACAGTCTACTTATAATCTAATGAGAATTAGTTGGCATGTAGATGCAATGCACCTTAAATTCAACAAAAAGACCATTAAAATAAAATGTGACCATGTATTTTATTAATGTGAAGTCAAAGCTGATTTGTTAGCATCATTACTTTAGTGTCAGATGATCCTTCAGAAATCATTCTAATAGGCTAATTTGTTTGATGCAGTTGATATTAATATTAACATTAATAAAAGTAATCATTGGGAACACTTTTAAGTGACACTATAATATTACTTACCTTGAATGAAGTCTGGCAAGGAAAAACAAAGTGGTAGAGTGAGTGGAGGACGATTCAAAATCTAGAAAGAAGTAATAAAAATATATATATATTACCAACACATTTTAAGAAATAGATACTTGTATTAAACAAGGGTGCATAAAACTGATCAGAAGAGAGTTAAGATTTCTGATTCAAATACTTTTCAATTTAAACTTCCTATTCATCAATGAATCCTGAAATAACAAAACATGATAAAAATAAGAAATCGTGCTTGATCAGCAGCAAATTATGAATACAATATTACATTTTGGACTGGAGCACTGATGCTGTAAATTCAGCTTTGAGAAAAGCAATGTAAAACATTTTTAAAACCACTCACTTATGTTTGGATGTCAAAACTTTAAAATAACTTCAATCAAGACATGTATCAGATGCATGATAATGTAGGGATTTCTTATAAAAATGCACATTAATCTATTTAACAGTTAATTATAGTCTTACCTGTGTTTCCTCCAGCTCTGTGATTAGCTCCCTTCATCTTGGCTCTTTTCTTCTGTTGTAGGGGTAATTTTGTCACTCCTGAAACCACAGAGCACTTTTTAAAATTAATATTAGTTTACATTACTGTGAAATATCAAAGTAACACATATGCACTAACTTTAACATTTTAATTCGCTCTTGTTGACAGTACAGTGCTTATTTTAGGCTAAATAAAGTAAACTACCTCCAATAAAACATTGTCAAACCTCTCATCTACACATAAAATGTAATTAAAAGCCAACACTTTTATAAACAATAGCTAGCCTAATGCTAACGTTACCTCTGCTAATCCGCTGGCGGCGTGCCACCCAAAAAACGCCGGTGGGCCGACATAACTTTTAGAATGGGCGGCTTCCTGCTGGTGAGCCGACGGCGGTCCGCCCCTATCAAGCCGCTGAATTTGTGCCGACGAAAAAACGCCGACGGTCCGCCAACTCATTGTTTGCTGGGTAGTTTTCAAATATGGTTTGTATAAAATGGTGTGTCCTAGTTTGTGTGTGGTTCTGCGGGCCTGCAGCTCGACATTATTGGGGACGCATACGCTGCGAGAGACACTTAGCAGTACCATCTTGTGCAACTAGCCAATCTTATATTAAACAACGTGAATGTGCGTTACGGAAAACTTTCATATTTGCGTGCCATCCGGTGTGCAACTTGGCTATTAATCGTCAAATAGGTTTTGAAACTGCGGGCGACGGCCCTGAAGACACACATGAGAAAGTCTTACCAAGGACGCGTAGAATCAAGAGCCATGATAGCAAATTAAAGACGTGTATCATTTTAACGACGCTTCCACTAGTGATGTGACGTTGTGCGCCGAGGCTTCGAAGCATGTATCAAAAGGTGCGTTCGACATGAAGCTCAGCTGCAGCCGGTGATCAACGAGATTAGCCGAGCGCAGGCGGGGGCGGAGTTGAAAACGGAGCCGTCAAGACGGACAGCTGGACACTTCGGGACTCCAAGTTGCTGCAGTCATGATGACCGATAACATGGCGTCATCATATTTTTTTGTTATGTTTATTTATAACAACAAAACATTTACAAATAAAACAGAATACAGTTTCTACAAACTGTAGTTCCTTTTTAAACAATAAGAGAGAATTATGAATAAAATATATAACAAATGCATGAGAGAAATAAGAGGAAATGAGAGGTTAATATAAACATAAAAACGAACAGGTCTATTAAATACAAAGCAATAAGCATAAATTCTAGGAGTTAAACATCAATCTTTGGGCTAATACTTCTTGTTTGAATATGCTAAAAATGGGTTTACATTTATGTACATTTATAGATATAAACATTTCCAATGTAAAAAGCAAAACAAGGTGTTTTGATTAGGTCTTAATAAATGAGACTATTTTGGATAATGAATGAATTTTCAAAAAAGCATTTTAATCCAAAAAGATTGTGTTGAAAAGAACAAAAGGTAAAATAAGTGAGCTATGTAGAAGTTTCCCAGAAAGAGCAGGTAGCCTTTAAACTGCTAGATAGAAAATAAAATATATATTTATATTATAATAATAAAACCATTTTATAATTATTTAATAAAATAGTTCTTCACTTTAATTTGTAAAGAGAGCTTTAGGGGGGCAGGATCAATGATGATGATTTTCTTATTTCAAGTCTGTAAGACTTATTTAGGTTATTCACTAAAATATACACTTAAATATATCATTTAAATCGTTCATGAATGCAGTAAATAGTCTGTATAAAAAAGTTAAAAATAAACCTGTGCAAACAAGCAAACCTTTATAACCAGATTATTTAACAAAAGATGATACTGCAGTAAAATATTTGTAGTCTTTTAATAAGCAAGATGTGTACAGGATAGAGAGGGTGTGAAAAGTGAATTGTTTGTTTTGAAACTTTTGAATCGGAATTTGTCCAATTATAAACCCAAAATACACGTGTTTGTTGTCATGTGGTGAACTCGGCCAATCGTGTAATATCGGTGTCGTCATCAAAGCTCCTGCAGTCGCTCTTCAGAACCTGCACGGTCTGAGTTTGCCGTCTGATCTCGGAGCGTTGTCGCGGTACTTTGATGCCACATGTGACAGTCACGTGGCGTCGGCGCAGCATCAATCCGGACAAGATTTCTAACCAGAATGCACCGCTTTAAGACAGATTTCGATCGATCTGCGCAGCGCTGCATGAAGTCGAACGCACCTAAAAAAACGATACATCTCGCAGTGAAGCAGTGTACCGGAGCTTGATTCGTTTTGCCATCATCACGTGATCAGTGACGTCCGAAGCTTCACTTCCTTCTTTACCCACGTGACTGCTTCGAATTTTGATTCAAAGGTTTAAGCACCCTCATAGTAAAGTGTATAGCGAGAGAATTGGCGTCTATTACATACATTTGTTTCAAAGCACTGCACCAGTCCCACACACCAGTAATTCAACTAAAATACAATAGTATTTTTAGTAAAAAGGTTTTGAATAATACTAAAGTGTATTAGCGTATTTTTTTTTATGACTATCTTTAAAGAAAACCACCGCATATCGTAGTATTGTGTTTAACAGAGACAATGTGGTGAATGCGACCCTGAAGCATCGTTCACATAGCGTCCTCCTAGAGCACTTGCCTCCCAATCAGGAATCGCTGGTTCGATCCCTGCTTGGAGCGGGACTAATTGTATTATGATAAACTTTTGAATACCTTGGATTTTACTACAATCATCAGTTGTGTAATGTAATATATCTTGTGTAAAAACTACAGTAATTGAGTAATTTGTTTATATTGCTGTTTTTGTATTACTACATGAATGAGTTGGTCAGTTGTGAACATTTGACATTATGGCAACACAGTGCTTTCCCACACTTTCACCAGAAGAGGTCCTCATTGAGCTCTGATTTAGAAAGCTTCGAGTAACCAACCTTTTTCCGATACAATTGAGTCGAGCGCTTCTGGTTCAGAAAGCTTCATTTCACTATCACTAGCTTCCACGCGGTAAGCATATTCGGATCAATTAGACTCCGTTCTTTTACTAAACTGTGGACGCCAGCAAAGTAAGATATCAGCTGCGTCCCAAATCGCATACTTATGCACTATTCTACGCCATTTTGTAGTATAAATAGTGTAAGTAGTGTGTTCACACTGAAAACTCTAAAAATAATAAGTGCACTTTAATTACCCGGATGATGCACTCATTCAGCCGCTAAAATGAAGTGTGTAATGATGGACACTTCACGCACTCAACGACCGCAGATTTGCTTACGTAGCGGAAGGGGCGGAGCTATCAGACGCACATGTTGAATAACTTTATTTATTTTGGATGGTGAAAGCAAACCCTGCTGAAAAAAACAGCAAAGACCACCATGGTTAATCCGGCCCTGGGAGAACCAGAAAAAAAATAAAAAATTGTGACAGTTCTTTAAATTATATTGCCTATATTTCTCTAACTGGGTTTCTTTAACTAATTTAATTATATCATTATACACCTTACTATATACAATATCTACTAAATATTAACCCTGTGTCTTTCAAGGAGTTTTATAACTAAAACAAACTTCACCTGTGCTCAACTTTAAATTGTTCTTCATGTTATAGGTTTTTCCTGTAATTGTGTGCATAATCCATTTCTTTTTGTGTGATATATTGGGCAGTGCATCAATACATGTTCTATATAGTCTACTGGTTGGTACTACATTTGCACATGCCATCTGCATGTTTATGTAGTGTATACTATTGAGTGCTGTGAGATTAAATCTCATTCTTGTAAACAAGTCTTCTTTCTGTCTGCTCCCAATAATCCATGTTGCCATATATTATTTCATATTATATATTCCATAATTATTCTTGAAATTAGTCATGTTTCAGTCAGAAAACACATGGTCTCATAGTAATTGTTCTTCCTACTATGGAAATATATTGTGAGTACATTATAAAAAAAAATAAAAAATCTTGTCCACCTACTTAATTTCCTACACTGCAACATAAACAGGAACCCATTAAAAATGTCCTGTCATGAAACGTTTGAATGTTTTAAAAATGTTTTAAACTCTTAAAATAACCAAATGTGGTAAATCCGCTTAATTAAGCTTAATCTGTTTTTCAGATTTTATGATTTGCAATGGTTTCAGTGCATCAACTGTGAGTTTCATAAAAGGACAGGAACAACCTTTTCACCTACAAACCAAACACACGTGTACAAAAGCCCACCACTCTCACCTACAAAGCTGCCATCAGACCACATCTCTGAAGAAAACCCGACCGCAGGCTGCAGTTTGACTTTAAGCTGCTAGAATCACAATGAGAGACAGCAGACATTATTAACATTTCGCCCACACATAACAGCAAATAACCTATCAACTGAAATTACTTTTAAAACATTTTTAAATAAATAACCACACCTTAGAACTAAATTAAGAGTATTTACACATTATTCAGTATTACTACTTCAACCACTGCTTTAATCAAAATCATTTGCCTTGCTGTTGTAAAATATTTAAGTGTTGAATTATAAATCAAAGACTATTTGCAGGTTTAAGGTGACAATTAACTAAAGTAGCATTAGTATGTAACCATACATCATTGCTAAAGAAGAAAGTGTTCATTTCAGCCAATAGGAGGGTCAAACTCTCTTGTGGGTGGAGTCATGTTTTCAGAGGGGAGTTTTTATCCACCAATCTTTCACTGAACGTCTGAAGAAAATGTTTGGCATGTTTGCTTTATGTTTGTGCTGGTGGTGTTTAGCTGGTAAGTTTAATATGTAATATTTCACACAGAGAGAAGCCTCAAACTGAAGCCTTAAACTGTTTATATATCTGAATGTTTTCCAGGTGTGTTTGGCGAGTCTGTGTCAGTGACAGAGGGAGATTCGGTCACTTTACACACTGATACTCAAACATCTACAGATGACATAAGATGGACATTTGGAGCTGAAAACTCTCTCATCGCTAAAATTAAAATAAAGAAGCAAAACCTCTCCACATATGATGGTCCTGATATGAGATTCAGAGACAGACTGAAGCTGGACAATCGAACTGGATCTCTGACCATCATGAACATCAGATCTGAACATGCTGGAGATTATAAAATGCAGATCAGTGGAGAAAAAATTATAATAAAAACCTTCAGCGTTTCTGTCTACGGTGAGTAGAGCTTATCATTTGTGATTGATCAGTGCTGATCAAACTGTCGTGTTTTCTTAAAAGAATATTTAACACAGTACTAAAGTTAAGCTTCATCAGCAGGATTTAAAACAAACACATTATATAAAGAAATTTAGAGTTATCTGTGCACAACTTGTAATGCTAATAGATTATAAGCTAGCAAAGCAGAAAACCATAAAACCAGTCATAAAGGTTATTTAGATTCTTTTTTTTTTTGTATTCATACACCTGAAAGCTGAATTTTTAGATTTAATTCGTTAGGAAAAAAAAAATTGTCGAGATACACAACTATTTAAAAAATATAGAGTCTGAGGATGCAAAAACATTAAACTTTGAGAAAAAATGAACTGTCTACATGAAGTGCTTAGCAGTCCAAATTACTAAACAAAAAGTCATTTTTTATATGTTTGTAGGAATTGGATTAGTTGGCATTTCTGTGTGGAATTTGCATGTTCTCGCCCTGTGTTGGCGTGGGTTTCCTTCGGGTGCTGCGGTTTCCCCCACAGTCCAAAGACATGTTGTACAGGTGAATTGGGTATGCTAAAATTGACCGCAGTGTATGAGTGTGTGTGTGAATGAGAGTGTATGGATGTTTCCCAGTGATGAGTTGCAGCTGGAAGGGAATCCGCTGCTTAAAAAATATGCTGAATAAGTTGGCGGTTCATACCGCTGTGGCAAACCGAGATTAATAAAGGGGCTAAGCTGAAAAGAAGATGAATGAATGGGTCAGTTGGCATTTCTGTGTAGAGTTTGCATGTTCTCCCTGTGTTGGCGTGGGTTTCCTCCGGGTGCTATGGTTTCCCCCACAGTCCAAAGACATGTGGTGTCTGTGAATTGGGTAAACTAAATTGTCTGTAGTGTGTGTATGTCCTGGTCCTCCAAATTTTGGGTTTAGTGTTGGGCTAACGACTCACCTCATAAAAACTAGATGTTACGAAACACCAACATGGTGCGGCTAAATATCAACTTCGATATAAATGGCCCTGGGAGAGAGAAAGAAAGAAAAAAAGAAAGAAAGAAAGAAAGAAAGAAAGAAAAAAAAAGAAAGAAAGAAAGAAAGAAAAAAAAGAAAGAAAGAAAGAAAGAAAGAAAGAAAGAAAGAAAGAAAGAAAGAAAAAAAAGAAAGAAAGAAAAAAAGAAAGAAAGAAAGAAAGAAAGAAAAAAAAAGAAAGAAAGAAAGAAAGAAAAGAAAGAAAGAAAGAAAGAAAGAAAGAAAGAAAAAAAAGAAAGAAAGAAAGAAAGAAAAAAAAGAAAGAAAGAAAAAAAAGAAAGAAAGAAAGAAAGAAAGAAAGAAAGAAAGAAAGAAAGAAAGAAAGAAAGAAAGAAAAAAGAATGATGAATCAACTTTAAATTATGTGTAAAGCTGTAAATATTTAATGGTAAAAAAAAATTATTAAAATGTAATTAATATTATTTGAGTTCTCTGGTGTAGTATTGTACTTCTCTGCTGTTTTTCAGCTCGTCTGCCTGTTCCTGTCCTCATCTTTAACTCTTCTCAGTGTTCTTCCTCCTCATCTTCTTCAGTGCAGTATTGTTCAGTGTTGTGTTCAGTGGTGAATGTGAGCGCTGTGAGTCTCTCCTGGTACAAAGGAAACAGTGTATTGTCCAGCATCAGTGTGTCTGATCTCAGCATCAGTCTCTCTCTACCTCTGGAGGTGGAATATCAGGATAACAACACTTACAGCTGTGTGATCAACAACACCATCAGCAACCAGACCACACATCTGGACATCAACACAGTCTGCCAGCTGAATGATGGTATGGTAGTGTCAAAATACTAGTTTAAGTAGAAATTCACTTTTAATAACAATGGTCTCCTTCAGGTCCTCCAGACTCAGGATCTCTGCTAGTGTTGATCTCTGCTGCTGCTGTGGGATCTCTGCTGATGATTTCTGCGATCGGGATCTTCTGCATCTGCAGGAAACACAGAAAAACAGATCAAGAAGGCAAGTGTCACCTGCTGTTTTAATAATAACATACTAAATATATGGTAAAATGTATTCTAAATATTTTAGTGAATTAAAAAGGTAAGCCACAATTATAAAAATAAATAAACAATACTGGAAAAAATGATAATTCATTATGCGTTCATTTTTCTGTGATAATTTATTTTATGAAATTGCAATATTGAGTATAAATTTATTAGGTGAAATGAAAAGCTCTGTTTGGAATAAATTCATAATTTTAAATTGATTGCAATGGATTTGTAGGTGAGTATATGGATATAAAATATAAAAAACAGTAGAAAAAAAATAAAAAAAAATTGATGAATACAGTAGAGCAAATATATAATAGAAAAAAACAGTGGCGCAGTAGGTAGTGCTGTCGCCTCACAGCAAGAAGGTTGCTGGGTCGCTGGTTTAAACCTCGGCTCAGTTGGCGTTTCTGTGTGGAGTTTGCATGTTCTCCCTGCCTTCGCGTGGGTTTGTTTTTATTTATATTTATATTTATATTTATATTTATATATATATATATATATATATATATATATATATATATATATATATATATATATATATATATAAATAATCCTCACTGAAAAAAAAGATGTTTGCTGTTTGTTCAAACTAGCTATTTAAAATAAGCTCAAACGCAATTCATAAGTTTTTTAGGACTTAAGACTTAAATGTTTTATGTTCAATCCACTTAAATTTAAGTTAACTTTATTCCTTTATGTTGTCCCAACACAATGTTTTAATGATTTTTTTTTTTGTTTTAATCAGTTGAGATTCGATCAGAGATCAATTATGCTGAGACGGTGTTCAACAAAAGATGCGAGCATGAATCAGTAAGACGCTTTAATATTCATTCATGATTATTGTCAGTGTATAAGTGGATTTGTCCAAATGTAACCTTCGACTACAAGTCACAAGGGTCTTTTTTTTATTTAGACATCTGATATCTAAACATCATATGAAATCGGAATAAAGCTTTTTGTGTGGTTTGTTAGGATATGATGATATAGATAAAACTATTTGAAAATCTAAATGCTCAAACACATAAAAATTTAACTTTAAAAAATAAATAGAGAAAACCACTTTTAAGGTTGTCCAAATATATTGTCAGTTGTCAATATAGTTTTTCCCTCTGTAAATAAAGTTGATATTACACCTTCAGGTTGTCACGATCCTGGAATTCAATAATAATCAATACTGAAATTTTTAAAACGTCCATTTCCTGTGAACACTGAAGTGCTGTTGAGCGCATTCTTAAACGGTGCTTATTTGCCATTTTTTTCACGTGCTCAACAGAAATGACTGTGATTGGCTGTGAAGGTCATCTGTTAACCGAACTCACCGCTGTTTACAGTGTGTAACCACAGATACAGGGACACTGTAGTATTTCAAATGTACGTTGATTAGCTGGTTTGTCTATAAACTGACATACAAGCGATCCGCTGATGAATCACAGCTTTAAAATGGTCCAGTGTCCCTGTATCGGTGTTTACACTCAGTAAACAGCAATGAGTTTGGTGAACTGATGAGCTTCACGGCCAATCACATTCATTTCTGTTGAGCACAATGGCAAATCAGCGCTGTTTAGGTATGAGCTCAACAACGCTTAAATGTTAGCAGGAAATGGACATATTTAAAATGTCAGTTTCTCTTGGTACCGAATTCCAGACATTTTGACAACCCTAGTATAAATTTCACAGTTCTTAACACTTAAAGCAGAATGGGAAAAAAACTAACAAAAAGTTCTCATAATTCTGGAAAGGAAATGGAATAAGAACATACTAATGGAACACACTCTGCTTTAAGCTGTAAGAATTAAATTTAATTTGTTTCATATAAAAGCTACAAGAGTCCTTCAGTCAACAGCAGTGTGTGACTTTGTCCTCGTCTTTGTTTGATTGATGATCACATACACACTCGCCAGCAGGAATATAGTGTATTGTCACTTTAAGAGCAGTTCTGTTTGTTTTTATTTTCACGTCATTTCAGTCTTAACTCTTTATGTTCCATTATTTCTTAATAAAAATGTCATGGTTTCCGCTACATTTATTCTTCCATGGCAAGGCACAACACCAAAATTCATCCCGCCATGGCTAAATTACAGCTTCTCATTCAAAACATTCAGTTGTTTTTTTCTTTTATAGCGTGTAATAATCACAACAACGCGTATTAAAAGGTAAACGAATTACAACAGAGTTAACTTTTCAGTAACCATAGTAATGCTGTGCGTTGTTTGTATAACCCTTAAAGGTGACATGCTGACTGACTGACAGGAATAAATATTCCTAGCAAATCTAATAAATGCTGGAAACAAATTTGTTACACAAACACAGAGCGCAAAACGCAAAACGCAGGGCGCAAACGCTTTCAGGGCATGTCAGAACGCATTTTTGCTAATTTAAGGATGGGAAATCTGCCTTGCGCCGTGGCGGATGGCCTAAAAGGGTTGAGTTTATTTTCTTAATGAGTTATAGGTGTGTTTTGAGAATAAACCAATCAGAGTCTCATCTCCCATTCCCTTTAAGAGTCAGCTGCGTCGCGCCAAGAGCGCATTCGCTATTTACAGGACACAAAGTAAGTCTAAGTAGAAAAAATGAGCATTTCACTAGCAAACAGTTAACAGTTGACAGTTTTTTAACAGAAAACTGTTAAACAGAGCATCTACTGCATGAGAATGAGAGATAATGGAACTACTTTCACTTTCGCTCTTAAATAGGGAAACCTTTACGCACAGACATCAATTAGTCTATAAATAAATAAATAATTTTGTTTGTTAAGCGCAAATATTCATTTCAAAACTATTTCTAAATTCAGTTCTAATTTCCAGCAAACGAATAAATGAACAATAATAACAAAATGTGCTCAAAAACCTGAGTGATATCCTAAAACACATGCTGTGCCCCATATGTCTAAAACTGACAGGTGAGCAAATCTAAGCTTGTTTTTAATAAAACAAATATGGATATAATAAATAATACTGCTAATAATAATAACATTATACAAAAGCAAATTGTTATGAATAAACTGAAAAAGCCTCCCGAGATGAAGAAGACATAAGAGCAGTGATTTTTCATATTTATGTAGGCTAGAAAATAATATGTTTGTAATATTTTAATCCTTTATATTTATATCCTATATCTATTCTTATATATATATATATATATATATATATATATATATATATATATATATATATATATATATATATATATATATCCTTAATATTACATTTTTTTCATATGTAAAGATATTTGCCTATTGCTCTCTTGTGCGTATTAAGCAGTGTGTAAGCGAGGCACAACTCTGCGCTGGAGTTTAGACCGGGTTAGTTTTGGTCTAATGAAAAATCTAATATAGTTTCTCAAAATGGCAACGCGCCAGCGGTCCGCCTCAGAACGCCTTCCTTTTTAGACCAGAACGCCTATGGGCGCACAAATGAGCGCTAATGCATTTGCTATTTAAACAGCGTAGCGCAACGCCTCAAAACGACTCTTGCGCCAAGCTGAAACTACCAAAAGACTATTGCGCCTCGCGCCACACTGCGCCGGGTGTATGATAGGGCCCTAAATCACACTTCAGCAGCGTTTATTTGAGAGCGCACAAGAAAACCTGCTCTTGAGCAGCGTGCACAGGCAGAGGAAATTGGCGCGCAAGCAAAGAGATTTGCATGCTCATATTACATAAATGCGATCTCGACTTGTAATACTGCGCTCACAACATTTCTCCATTTGTCATTGAAATAACGCCATAGGTGGTTGATAGATCTGCCACCACAGCTGGAAAAAAAATCCTAGAGAAAACACTGGGGGTTAATGTAAATAATCACAAAGCATTTATGTATTAATTTGACAATTTAGGTGCTCACGTTAAGAAGATGACTCTACATGTGTGTGTTCTGCTTGTCTCTGCGTACACACACAAACACACAACAGTATGAGTTGTCTTCCACGCTTTTAAAAACATGTTACAGTACATGCTTTTTCTCATTTTCATGTGAAACTTAACTTCCCTGCTGAAAAAAACAGCCTATGCAGGTCAGCTGGTTTTACTGGTTGACCAGCCTGGTTTTAGAGGGGTTTTGGCCATTTCCGTCCTGGTCTTAGCTGGTCAGGCTGGAAGGTGACCAGCTAAAACCAGCTTGACCAGCTTAGCCAGGCTGAGAGCCCTGTGAAAACCAGCTACTGCATGTCCAGCTTAAACCAGGCTGGTCAAGCTGGTTTTAGCTAGTCATTTTTCAGCCTGGCCAGCTAAGACCAGGCCGGAAATGTCCAAAACCCCTTTTAAAATCAGGCTGGTCAACCAGCTAAAAACCAGCCAACCAGACTAGTTCAAGCTGGGGGTTTTTTCAGCAGGGTTTGCAGAGGAACAAATGCGTATGAAATGCGTGCTGGAAAGGAGGCAGGATATGACACAAATCTTGATAAATGTTTTGTTTTGTTTTTTTTCCAGCTAGAATTGAAATCGATGAAATCGAAAAATTAATTGAACAGCCCTAAATGCATGTACACATTTCACATTTAAACTAAAACTAGAGTATCATCTTTACACATTGTTCACAGCACACCTCCATTTACTCCTTTTGATATCTCTCAATATGACACAGAACAGCTGACAGTTAATAAGACTGAAATAAAAAAAGTAATGCATTATTCACTTTAGTTACTTGAAAAAGGTAATCTGATTTTATAACTCTCAGTTTGACCTTTGGGTTTGTAAAAGGTTTCTGAAATTGAATAAGTATAATAAATAGAAATACTAAAAAAGTCTTTCTTTAAATGTAAGACTGCATGATGGAAGTATTTTTGTATAAATATGTGCTTTTTTTTATTCAGAACATGACGCATGATGGAATACTTTAGCCTCCAACACCACAAATGTGGGTTTAGTGTGTAAAGTGCACTACTTGTTTCCAGTCTTGTCTTTTGCACTTGATGTTGCTTGCATGCACTTTCAAGTGGCCAAAACCACAAGTTTGGGTATTAGCACAGGTCCAAAGTCCCTTTTAAACTTGGCAGCCACCTTTAAAACACTTTCAATTCCTTTTCATTTCTCCTAATAGCGGTTTATGAAGCTTGAAAATAAATTTTGCATTTAAAAGTAAAATGTCAAAAGTGTTATTTTTAAATGCTCTAAACTCATTTTTTAAGGTTGGATCTGCCAATGTGCATTTGACCAGTTTCTATTCACCTTATTCTCCGCCGACGAGTGGGCGCTGCCATTTGAATGTTTTTGGCTCGAGACCTTCGGTCGCATTCACTTCCATTCATTTTTTGACTTTGAAAACTGCTCATTACGCTGCTTAATGATGCAATTTGATATTTTCTTATTATAGTATTCTACTTGGTCTATATAGTCATGCAAACATTTGTTTGTAGAGCAAGTAGTTTGACCGTTTTCTGCCGTTTATTATTCCCAGTCATGTCTCCCATAGGCGACTGAATCGGAAGTTCTAAGACAATCGCGAAAACAGGCGCACTTCCGCATTTTAGAATAAGGTCAATATCAACCAAAGCTTCTAATGGCAGTGATAGAATAGTAATCGATGATCTTTTATTTTGAACAATTTTCATGCAAGATGATGAACCCTAAACACAGCAAAATGCAGTTTCTTAAAACTAAAAAGCGCTGAAATAATGAAATGGCCGCCCAAAGTTCTGACCCAAACCTGATTGAAAATCTATGGAAAATCCTTGCAAACAAACTTCTGGATAAGAAACCAAACTTTTAAAAAGACCAAAGAAATCTAGCAGGCCCAGATTGGCTAATCGGGAGGACCGGGAGAATTCCCGGTGGGCCGGTCTGTTTTTTGGCCGCGAGGGCCGGTGTCCCTAGCTGCTTGCACTCTCAGCAATTACATTTTTTTTTCTATTTATTTATTTGACCATATCTTTACTCTTTTTATTCATTATTTTGCCGCAGTGCCGCTCTTTTTATTTATTTTCTCGCAGCCCCGTGAGAAAGATGCAGCCTGCAGGTTAACTAACGTTAATGATGATGATGTAATGTAACTATCGACCCAAACAGCGGCACCTTAGTGAATATAAGAATTCGAATAAAATGAATAAAACACCTGCTCAATGAAAATCAAATGATTCACTACATTAATAAATCTGACATAACTTGTTCAGAAATCTAAAAATGGGAGAAAAAGATTGAGCCATCAAAAGAAAGTAGTGCTGTGTCTTAAGGTACGCAAGTCATTAGTTATTTTTTACCCTCATAAGAATAGAGCCATTGTGGTCCAGTGGTAAGGATGTAGCTGTTCATTGCCGCGGACCCGTGTACGAATCTCACCTGCAAAGTTTTTTTTTTTTTTTCATTTTTATTGTTAAGCCATATAATACTGTAAGGGCTGTTGAACATTTGCATTTCTAAAGCAGCTGTTTTCTTGAAAAAAAAACGTGATAGTGCCATTAGAAACTGAATTGGAATCAGTCGTGAACTGAGGTGGGCCGGTCTGGCTTGAAACTCAAGGGCTGAAAATGAGTCCCACTCCGGCCCTGAAATCTAGAGATGTCCTGAAGTATTTTCTGACGTACTCTTGCTCACTTCTTACTCATATTTGACTGCAGTAGCCAGAAATGCTCATTATAATGCTTCACGCTACAGTCATTGACATTCGCTAATGTTTATCACAGTGTTTTCCACAAAATATCACACAAAACCAAGTACTTTGGTTATTTTGTAAAACACTTTCTCAGAATTAAACCCTGTTTTTTTTTTTTTTTTTTTTTTTTGTCAAAATGTCAACATGAGAGTCTAGCATGGAGCACCAACAACTATAATGACATTGAAATATACAAATTCTGCAATATTGATCTCCACTGTATACTGTATCTAAAGCTGATCAGGGTGAATTTTAGATTAACTGTTTTATTATGTGTTTTTCACAGAAAAGTAAAGAGGATCATCAGGTGCTGTATGGCCAAATCATGACATGAAGATAAACTTTAATATTTTGGCAACTACCTCACATTGGGAGTTTAAGAGATTTGCATGTGTGATTGAAGGGATAGTTCACACAAAAATGTAAAGTTACTCACTATTTACTCAGCCTCTAGTGGTTCCAAACCTTAATACAAGTTTCTTTCTTCTGTTAAACATAAAATAAGCTATTTGGAAGAATGCTGAAAACCTGTAACTATTGACCTCAATGGTAGGTGAAACAAATACTATAGGTGTCGATAGTTACAGGTTTACAGCTTTCTTTAAAATATTTTCTCTTGTGTTTTACAGAAGAAAGAAACTCAAACATGTTTGGAACAAGTGAAGGGGGATTAAATAAAGACTGAATTTTCAGTTTTAAGTAAACTATCTCTTTGTAAAACAAATTACTGTTCATGTAACAGTGTTTTTAACACCTTGCCTAATTCACATGGCTCATTATTTTAATGATAGACTGCTAAATCCTTATGTGTACCTCAGGTGGAACATCAGTGTGACACATACGTGCAAAATACTCACCAGGTGTGAGAATGCACATTTCTCAGTTTTTCTATTTATGTCTGTGGTTTGATATGCTGGACTAACAGCTTCTGCAAAAGCTTGTGAAGGTGCGATGAATGTTTGATCTTTTTATGAATGCATGCATGTGTGAAAAACTTGTGGCTGCTTTTTCCATTCCAACTCATTTACAAATGACACATAAACATCCACCGTTTGACTTCTGCTCTACATACAACTCAATAAAGAACTCATCAGTGCTCATAGTTCATAAACAAAGATCAAATCAAGTAGTTTTATTACCATTAAATATGAAAATATCAAAAACGTATACAAGCATAATGGTTTCTGTGGTTTTGCTGATGTGGTTTGGCTTCAGTAATTATTTAATTTCACTTTTAAAAAGAAAACATGCTGTTGTTGTTGTTGTTTTTTTTTTTAAACCTCTCTTTGTCTTTAATCATACTATGTGAATATAAGTCCTTTTATTTTGTGGCTCCTATCATGCTGATATCTGATGGATATGTGGAATTTACTGTGCTTTTATCCATTGTGTGGTCCAAGGTAAAACAGAAATTGTCAAAATGTGGGCTTCGCTCGCTCATATTTTATACAATTAATAAATAAACTGTGAAAATTAAAATGAATTTCTGTGTGTGGGTGGGATTTACATCCCCAATGTCTCAGCTTTAATTGCTTTTATTATTAATAATTCTAGATAAAAGTCTGCAGGTCTGCTGCACCTGTCAAAAATAGAGTTTTTCCGTCACTGGGGGCTCATACTGGTACCGTTAAAAGTATAGAGTACCTAAAAAGTCCAAAAATGTATAATTTGAATTTACGTTAGTTTAATTTAGATACAAGTGTGGCCTTTTTTTTTTTTTTTTTTTTTTTTTTTTTTTTTTTTAAAGGTACTGAACATATTGGACCTCCAACTTAATATCAGCTCAGTAAAGGGAGATATTCTGGCATTTGATGCTGATTTAGCTGAGGATGTGAATCTTAAAACAACTAGGATTTTATATTTTACCTTTTTTTTTTTTTTTTTTGTTACATGGCTGATGAGTAAATAGGACATTCTACCAGAAACGTACATTACCTGTCCCTGAATTAAAAACAAATGAAGTGAATAAAAAGTATTTAATTCCAAAAATGTCTAAAAATGGACTGATGGTTGCTTTCTGTCATTTGGTTCTTTATTAAAAACACTTTACAAATGTACAAACCCTGTCATTTTCCTTATTCTTCACCCAAATTAATCTACAGCTCTAATAGATTTGTTGTGCTAAAAACTGTTATTTAGACAAAATAAAACTTCAGAAATAGCAAGTTTAAGTTGTTGTCATTCACATCAACTTAAACTGATTAAAAACACAAAGTTATAAATAAATTCTACAAATATATAATATAAATAACTACAATTGTCCCCGTGTTTCTGTCAGTCTTGTCCAGGGGTGTAGTGGACATTTTAAGTGTAGGGGACTATTTAAGTGTGAAAGTGTGGGGCAGATCTCTAAGGTCGAGTGAGCAGAATCTGTCAGTTCCAAATTCTAGGCTGAACAGTAGAGGGGACAGAGCTTTCTCTGTGGCAGGTCCTCGGTTGTGGAACACCTTGCCCCTTGAGATCAGAATGGCTCCATCATTATCCATTTTTTAAATCAAGTCTTAAAACCTACTTTTTTAGCCTGGCTTTTTAATATTATTTTATTAGTTCATTGTACCGCTAATTTTTTACATTTTTACAGATATTTTGCTTGCTTCATTTCTATGTTTTTATATTCTGTCTTTTTATTTCTTTTTATCTCGTCTCATGTTCAGCCCTTTGGTCAGTCTTGTGACTGCTTTTAAATGAACTTGAAATGAACTTCAAAATATTAAGTGTGCATAAAATCCAAAAGTTTACATTCATATAATTATTCATCACCCGTTTCTAAACGGTCTGTCTCTAAAAGTGATGCCCCTGCTCCTGTCACATTTGCATTAAATTGAACATAAAAGCCATGCAATAAACCTTTAAGGCTATTATGACTCAAAGGAAGTGACATGGTTTGATGGAGAAGCTGACAGCGATCAATGGGTGCATTTTATCATTGACTTGTATGATTCTATGCTTGTTTTTGTATGATTTTGAGAAAGACAAACTTAAAGGTCAAGCCCTGTCACTTTTTTATAAGTGAAAATGTACGTTTCTGGTAGAGTAGAATGTCGCAAATGATGACAGAATCCCCTGCTGCTTTTGGGTGAACTATCCCTTTAAGCGCGAGTCATCACCAGTTACGTACTATGGTACTATAGCACTATGTACTATGTAGGAAATACAGTAGTGAACATGAAGTGGATCACAGCCTTTCATCAAAGTTGTCTAAAAAATATTGAACGACACATATACTTGTCTTAGGACAATTTTGATCAACTTTAAATGTTGACTACTGTAGGGACCACCTAATTACCATTATTAAAGCAGTTAGTATTTCAAGTACAATATGATAAATGTTGGGAAAATACATGTACTGTACTACCTAACGTAATATTTTTTTTACTTAACATATAAATGGCCAATACACTTAATTGTAACAGCACCAACTTGCTCAGATTCAAGTCATATGAGACGTGACGGAACCTTCAGTCGCTAAATGTAACGAACCCAACATAACTGAAAACAAAAACCGCATACCTGTGTTTTACCGGATTCTGTCTGTCTATACTGTTCAAGATTTGGCTGGATGTTTTTGTGTTGTATGTGTATAAATCCGCGGAGCAGGTGTAAAAGCGGTTCAGCTTATTTGACCTCATTCTTCCAGTGCTGACAGGGGCGCGCTTCAGCTCGGCTTCTGTGAACGGAAGCCCCGCCCTCTTAAATCCGATTGGCCGTCACAAACATTCTGACAGTGACGTGCGCCACTTCGCTAACCCCTTGTTCAGAACAAATTAAATCTATTTTAAATCAAGTTGGCGCTGGCTGACGGAATATCCACCATGCTAAAACAACATTTAACTGTTAAATCATAGCTTTTAATCTCTTCCAGTATCAGCAACAGTTCCAACAAGAACACCTCAAACAGACGGTGAAAAGCACATCATGTGTCCTTAAGACATTTATTTAAAAACTTTTACTTAAAAATGAATTGAAAACCTTGTTTATTGTAAGAAAGGAAAGCAAACACAGAAAAACAAAAGAAGACAAAAAACTTACCATCAACTCTTGCATCAACTAACCCTGCGAGGAGACTCAGCTCATTAGAGTTTATTCGCTTAATCACGGTTCTCCGTCGTTTCATTCTCTTCAGTGATGTTATTGCTTCATTGGCCTGAGTCTGAGTTGTGAATCTCTCACATGTCCATCAAATGAATGTTATTAGAATTATCAGCAAAATTTTCCTGTTACAGAATGATCACAAAAAGCAAAAGAACTGATAAACGAGACTTTGAATTGTATTTGTTTATATGCAGTGTCTAAAATAAATAAATAAAGTTTATTTTGGGTTTATTTCAAAACGTCATCTGTACTAAATCTGTATCTTCACTTCAGTAATAAATAATTAGCCTACTGATTTCCACAGAACAGTATTAGGCTCCATTTATTATTTCTAATAACAGGGTTTCTGCAGGTTTCACAGAGGTAAGTTTAAGACTTAAGACATGTTAAAGACCATTATGAATAAAATTTTAGACTAATAACAGGGTAAACGCTAAGGATTTTTTCGAATTGTCTAGAAAAGAAAAGATTTTCATTTGCCCTATCAATTTTTTAATAACTTAATAAATTTGATAATACAATACATTAATAAAAAATATATAAAATTTTGTAGATTTTATTTCATAGAAAAATATTTTAAATATTGTGTAAAAACAAGCAAGCTCTACTTTTATTCATACACTTTTTTCCCCCAACATAAACTTTCTTTAAAATAAAAAAGAAAATTAAATGTTTTAAAAACTATAATAAACTAAATCTATGCACAACAATCTGTCCAGGTCTCTGTCCGCAGCAGTAAATACACGGAGAAATTTTAAACAAATGTTATTGTAAGGAAAACAATTAAACCATTATGATAGAGTTAATTTCCTTCTTAATTAAAAAGTTTGATTGAGATGATTGTTGGTGACTGTTTTTGCCAGATTTGGTAGCAATACATGAAATACAAAAGAAAATTAAGACCTGTTTAAAAAAAGATTTAAGACCTACAACACAATATTTCAGTAAATTTAAGACTTTTTAAGGCCTAAAATTTAGTTTTGAGATTTAAGACTTTTTAAGGCCTAAAATTTTGTTTTGAGATTTAAGACTTTTTAAGACCCTGCAGAAACCCTGCATGAGACACTTCTTAAAAATAATCGAAAGGTTTAAATTATTTAGTTATTTTGGGAGACTTTTCATGTCTTGGTTTATTTAGGAGCTTTATTGCAAGGTATGTTCACACATACGAGGAATTAGTTTTCGTGTCAGAGCTTCTAAAGTGCAACAGAATGACAGAGACAGGACAAAAATAGATAATAATTTTATTTTAAAATAGGAGTAAATAGTGAATGCAAATGTTCAACAGTATGTACAAAATAACAACTATATACAACGTTATATGTGCTGCTGTTACTGTATGTGCAAATTGTCAATGTAAAATATGTTTTTAAATAAATTTGTGTATTTGTACAAAAAGTAGTGATGTTTGTTTTACAATTACTATCGCAGAGTGTGTATGAGATAAATTGCCTCAAGAAAGTTTTCCTTATTTAAAAAGAACAGTAGTGCTAATTCTAATAATTATAAGTATTTAATTGTACACAGCAAAATATGGGGACCCAAAACAACTCTATGGGTGTTAATTTCAACACTTTGAAAGTGTCTCATGGGGTCCACTCAAAACAGAGTTAAATCAACACTTTCAAAAGGGTTGGCACATTGACACCGAAGTAAGGGTTAATTTTAACTCTGGGCAGAGTTAAAAAATGTAACTATATTTAACACTGCCTGGTGTAATATATTATTTTATTCAACTCTCTTGAGTGTAAATATGGTAAAAAACTCAAATAGACTGTAAATTACAAAAGAAAAAACATTTTATTTGAAAACATTCACCACTTCAACAATTCATTCAGTTTTTAAAATGCAACAATGTCAAATATGCTTTAAATGTTTTATTAGTACAGACAGTATCAACAAAATATGTATGACCAGTGCTCAAAAAGGCTGTTTTAGTCCTTTGGTCCAAACTTGATGTTTCATCAGTTTTCTTCTGAACGCATAGTTTTCTTCTGAAATTACATTTTAAACAACTTGGTGTGCAAATCTTTCACTTCGGGTGTTTCCTTGGTCCTCCATATCAAACACAGCAGTTTAAATGAAGGTATAAATGCTGGAAACTTGTGTGAAAACAAACTGGAGCTAGGAAATCTCATCAAGCATGTCCTGTGAATGAAGTGCTTCCCAGCCACAGGATGACCTTTTTATCCATGACGATGTAGTAGCTGCTGATCGCTCGTCTGGTGGTTCCTGATGCACGGATATAGGGTGATGCTCTTCTAAGAACTCTTCAAGACTCCAGCATGACTAAGATAAATGTTTGAAAACAAATTGCAATCAAATTCTATGATATATTTAATAGAACATTTAAAGTAAATAAAACATTTAAGAAATCTAAACTCACCTTTTGAAAATTTTCATGATGATCCACAACTTGACTCTCCCAGCTGGTTGAGGTGACAGGATATGGAAAAGTAGAAAAAACACATACATCACTGTTGGATCTCCAAAAACAATTAGGTTAATCACTATGACTTTTCTATCTTTTATATCATTTAGTGATGCTGACTTCCCCAAAATATTGGCCACAGTGTAAAAAATATTCATAAACTTACAGTTTTCTGTAAGCGTGTGCGTGTGTGTGTGTGTGTGTGTGTGTGTGTGTGTGTGTGTGCGTGCGTGCGTGTTTCTTTACCAGATTCAACTTGTTGGGCCCTTTCAGGACCAGTATTGACGCCACCTTTCCTGGAGTCTAGCAGATGTTTCAGGTCCAAATATAATCTTAACTATTAGGATAAGCAGAAGAGGAAAAGTGCAAAGCAAAGAGCAAAACATTATTTAAGTAATAGT